TTTAATCTAATCTCATTTTAATCGATAATTAAAGTTGGTTTATTTTTATTTGTCCCAGGTCACCTGACAAATTTTATAGCTAAGATTAGAGTCAAAGTCTGCTCTGTCCTATATTAAGAACACGAAGACATAAGAAGAGCCCTGCTGGATCAGACCAGTGAGGGTCCACCTAGTCCAGCATCCTGTCTCACACAGCAACCAACCAGTTCCTCTGGAAGGCCACCAACAGGACACAGAGGCCGAGACCATCTCCCCTGCTGTTGCCTCCTGGCTCTGGGATACAGAGGATTAGTGCCTCTGAACATGGAAGTTTCCTTCGGTCACCACGGCTATCAGCCACTGACAGACTTATCCTCCACAAATCTACCTAATCCCTTTTTAAAGCTGTTTATTCCTGTGGCCATCACTACATCCCCTGGCAGTGAATTTCACGTTTTAATCACTCCAGACACTGTGCCACGCTGGCCCAAAATATGCACTGTGGATAACAGTGTACAATTTTATTTACTTCATTTATGCCTTGCCTTTCTCTTTAACGGGAACCACAGCTGCTCACATTGTTCTCATCTCCTCCGTTATATCCTGTAAGGTAGCTGTAAGGTAGATGAGGCTGAGAGAGAGTGACAGGCCCAAGGTCATAAGAACATAAGAGACGCCAATGTTGGATCAGGCCAAAGGCCCATCCAGTCCAACACTCTGTGTCACACAGTGGCCAAAATTACCAGGTACCATCAGGAGGTCCAACAGTGGGACCAGGACACTAGAAACCCTCTCACTGTTGCCCCCCCCCCAAGCACCAAGAATACAGAGCATCACTTGCCCCAGAGCCCCTATCTATACCTTGTGGCTAATAGCCACTGATGGACCTCTGCTCCATATGCTTATCTAATTCCCTTTTGAAGCCGTCCATGTTTGTAGCCGCCACCACTTCCTGTGGCAGTGAATTCCATGTGTTAATCACTCTTTGGGTGAAGAAGTACTTCCTTTTATCCGTTCTCACCCGACCGCTCAGCAATTTCATGGAGTGCCCACGAGTTCTTGTATTGTGAGAAAGGGAGAAAAGTACCTCTTTTCCCTACCTGCTCTTTCCCATGCATAATCTTGTAAACCTCAATCATGTCACCCCTCAGTCGTCGTTTCTCCAAGCTAAAGAGCCCTAAGCACTTTAACCTTTCCTCATAGGGAAAGTGTCCCAACCGTTTTATCATTCGAGTTGCCCTTTTCTGCACTTTTTCCAAAGCTATAATATCCTTTTTAAGGTGTGGTGACCAGAACTGCACACAGTATTCCACATGAGGTCTCACCATTGATTTATATAGGGGCATTATGATGTTGGCCGATCTGTTTTCAATACCCTTCCTAATAATCCCCAGCATAGCATTGGCCTTCTTTATTGCAGTCACACACTGTCTCGACATTTTCAGTGAGTTATCTACTACAACTCCAAGATCTCTCTCTTGATCAGTCTCTGCCAGTTCAGACCCCATCAATGTGTATTTATATTTAGGATTTTTGGCTCTAATGTGCATCACCTTGCACTTGGCAAGCTGCCACAGCAGAGTGGGGATTCAGACTTGGGTCTCCCAGATCCTAGTCCAGCACTCTAACCACTACACCGCACCCAGCTCATGCATAAGAGAAATAAATATGAGCGGTGCCCTGGGCGGAAAAGCTGTTTCGGTGTTCCTTCCCGGCACAGCATTATCTGGGGGGAAGTGGGTCACACTTTGAAGTAGCACTGCAACGAGTCCACTCACTACAGTTTCATCTTTCCACTTAAACTCCTGATTTGAAGGCTGCATGAATGGTCACACCTCGATGTCCTTCAGGTCAAGTCTACTGGCCCTTGTGTGTGTGATTTTGGTATTTTGGGGGGAAGTGGGTCACACTTTGAAGTAGCACTGCAACGAGTCCACTCACTACAGTTTCATCTTTCCACTTAAACTCCTGATTTGAAGGCTGCATGAATGGTCACACCTCGATGTCCTTCAGGTCAAGTCTACTGGCCCTTGTGTGTGTGATTTTGGTATTTTTATAGGAGGTGTAATTGGGCCCTTACATGGTTTTTAATTCTTTGCTAATAAATCCATGTTTGTTGGAAGAAATGCGTTTAAGGAAGGAGAAGCCCCCTTCTTTTCTTGGGGAATCGTTCATCCTCTTTTCACGGTTTGGTGCAACATGCTGGGCTATGAGGGCTTGCTGAGGAGGGCCTTGGCTAAAGGCAAAGTATTCGACTGGAAGGATCCTATGCAAAATGATTTATGTTCATACTGATTTAGGTTAGCGTTGTTTTGACCCAGATGGCCCGATCTTGGCAGATCTCTGGTCAGCCCTGGTCAATAATTGGATGGGAGACCACTAAGACGGCCAGGATTGCTATGCAGAGGAAGGCAACGGCAAACTACCTCCATTCATCTCTTGCCTTGGAAACCCTATAAGGAGAGACGCCCGGGCTCCAGTAGAAACATAGCAGCATATTTTGAGCCTAAATGTTAATTGAGATCAGCGTCCTATCTGAATTTAATATTCTTAAGACTTGTTGTCTAACATTTATGAAACTGAGAGCTTTGGCACCACTATAATATCTCCTGAAGAAGATTCATTTTTTTGAAACGTTGTTATGTAATCCGGAGACGACGTTGTGTATCATGTTATAGTGCTTTAGATTGCAATACATAAACAGCATTCTTTATAAGTTTTATGACTGATTGATTGTGGGTCAGACTATCACGACTGTTGGCTTTATACTTGTTTAACCCTATAAGGTCACCATAAGTCAGCTGCAAGTTGATGGCACTTCACACACACACACACACTGACCTATTACAATTAAAAGTTAAATATAGACCCCTCACCACGGGCACTTACATTAATGATTTTTATAAGGTCTTCACTTTTGCCAGGAGAAGCATCGGGTTTCTCTTCATAACCTTCGAACTCCTCATCATCGTATGGTTCACTCTCTGTATCACCTTCCTACAAGGAATAATAATAATTATCATATGGCAGTGGGTGTAGTATAGCCATGAGATCCAAAGATTGTCTGGCAGCCTGAAACTCTAGCTTTTTTTTGTGTGGCAAGCTAGTTTTGTTTTGGGGGGGCTGAGAGAACTGTGACTGACCCAAGGTCACCCAGCTGGCTTCAAGTGGAGGAGTACAAAATTGAACCCAGTTCTCCAGATTAGCATCTGCCGCTCTTAACCACTACACCAAACTCTTCCTACAAGGAAAAAGTACAAGACATGGAAAGTGTCAGATATTTCACTAATACAAGCTTCTACGAGCATGGAGCTCATCTACTCTGGCACTTTGCAGATTGGATTAATAGTAACTCAGCACTTTTATAGTTCTTCCGGGGTTCAAATCATTAGAAGAGAGAAAAAGAAGAGATTGGATTTATACCCCGCCTTTCACTACCTGAAGGAGTCTCAGAGCATCTTAGAGTCTCCTTTCCCTTCCCCTCCCCACAATACACACCCTGAGAGGTAGGTGGGGCTGAGAGAGCTCTTGAGAGAACTGCTCTGAAACAACTTGTAACTGACCCAAGGCCACACCAGCAGCTGCATGTGGAGGAGTGGGGGATCAAACCCAGTTCTCCCAAATTAGAGTCCACGCTCCTAACCACTACAACAAACATTACAGACACAATGGGTTAGGACCAAATGTTCCATTCTGCTAATGATGGAGTTGTCCTCCAGAGGAAGGCACCACGGCTAATGGAACAGAACATTTGGACCCAATCCATGATCTCACAGTAACCCTTACAACAGCCCTGTAATGAACGCCAGTATTATATTGCAGGCAAGAAGCCTGAGACACACAGAAAGTGGACTTGCCTAAGGCCACCTAGTCAGTTCATGGTTACAATGAGGCTTGAATCAGAGACGTTTCGGATCTCCACTGATTCTTTTCAGCTACTGCACTACTTAGTTTTATATCACCATCACTTGGTATCCTCCTAAATCAGGGGTAGGCAACCTTTTTGGCCCAAGTGTTGGGGTGGGGGAAGCAACATCTACCTGTTGGAGAGCCAGCAAACACACTGAGGTAAGAGACAAAGGTCGTACTTTGAAAGGTTGTCCTTGAAAAAGAGCAGTTTCTATCAAGAGTTCTCTGAGCCCCGCCTACCTCACAAGGTGTCTGTTGTGGGGAGGGGAAGGGAAAGGTGTTTGTAAGCTGCTCTGAGACACCGTTGGGTAGTGAAGGGCGGGGTATAAATCCAATCTTTTCTTCTTCTTCTTCTTGGAGACACAGGGGGACCTAACCAAGCCCCAGCAGCACTGCCAGCATCTCAGGGATTCGCCTTGTGCAAATCAGGGATAATGACCATAAGCTATGCCTGTTGCCTTCTCCTGCACTGCTGGCCCCAACGGTGCTGCCAGTGCCTTGAGTGCCAAGGAAAACAGTCTGGTGTGCTGCTGCTGGCATACATCCCGGGGGTCGCTTGCCCCTGCCCTAAACAGTCTCTCTGGACTGTGAAATGATTGTTGCACTTCCACCCTACACTTTCTTCATGGAGCTCAGTGGGCCTCCAAGGCAGTCTTGCATCCTGGCACCAAGGAGACTGACACCGACTGCATTTTAGCAAGACAGGAGCAATGCTTGTCTTTGGACTACTCGCTGGATCATCTAGAATGGCTTGATATTTAGTGTTCAATTGCTACTTTTAAAAAAGCAAGCAGTAGTCAGCAGTGATTGCAACACTTGATAGTGTGAATGGCTCTGGAGTAAAGTTCAGCCACATCTATTCTCCTAGCAAGAATAGACAACCACTTCCACATGCCCTCACTCAGTACGAGATATAACCCACTTTTCTTCTCAACAGACACAAAGCAAAGCAAAGCAATAAGTCATCCCACAATGAAGTTGCTTGTACAAACAACACAGAAGTGAAGGTACTGAATAGACCACCACTTCCACACGCCCGCACTCAGTACGAGATATAACCCACAACTTCTCTTCTCAACAGACACAAAGCAAAGCAAAGCAATAAGTCATCCCACAATGAAGTTGCTTGCACAAACAACACAGAAGTGAAGTACTCCTTCAGAATCTGAGAGCTCTTATGGTTTGAAAAGTTAGGTGCGAACTCAGTTTTTATTGTCTGCCCACTTACATCAGATCTCCAGAGAAACCTATTGTTCAGTGCTCCCATCTTCCAAAAATGTGTGTACGCTTTTTAAAGCTCAGTTATCCTACTGATTTGTGTTACTCTGAAGATGGCGTGTAGTGATTCCAAAGAGAGCTTTGTAACACCTTCAAGACTAACTTGTTTATGAAAGCTTGGGCCAAGTTATACAACACATGGGGAATGACACCAACTAAGAAGACGGTAGCTTATTTTACACATATGAGCTTAGGTACAGTAGAAGATATATCAAATTAACAAAGGTGAGAACTCAATAGAACTAGGGTGCCAAGAATATAGCTAGGAGCTAGAATGTGCCTGATGAACAGTGTATGTTGCACTCTAACTCGGTGGAAGCAATCCATGTACAGACAGAAGTTGTAGATTGGGTGCATCAAGCTGCGGTAAAGCCCGCTGTACTAAGACCAGATTAAGGAAAGAGGGAGTGCATGCAGAACCCCAAGTATACTCGCCAGGGTACTTATAGGTGCATGAGTGTATGTGCAAAACCCTGCAGCTCTCTGGAGCAAAGCTGTATTCTATACATACTCTACATATTATACAAAATCTAAACTTAAATTGGATTCAGCTGTGTAGAAGGCTAGCCAACCCCCATAGCTCTTCTATCAGCATTTTTCCCTTGCTCTGGGTGACCAAAACAGCTAAGATCCTTCATCCGACATCACCTGTGCATCTGCATCCTCAAAGTCAAGACTTTCATCTTGACCTTCGAGCTCAATGGTGGCCTCCTCCTCGTCATCTTCCGTCGTGACGATCCGCTGGGGAGATTCCGTCACAGTATCTTCAATCACATCTTCAAATTCGGCAAAGTCGTTATCGTCATATTCCACAATGTCGTCGCCATCGTCAAATTCATCAAATTTTGCCAGAGAAATACCCCACGGGATTAAGAGAGCAGCCAGGAAGAAGCCTGCAGTTCTCATCCTTGCTGGGGGGGGGAAAGCAAACACACACCAACATCTTTAGACCTCAAGAGCAGAATTTTATTTTCTCCCTATGGCAACACTGCAAAGATTGGCAACTCGCTCTCCTCTTGTAAGAACACATAATAGACAATACATACCACAATCTGCAGGCTGAGGTTGCATACACTCTGCATATTACTTTCAGAAATAAAAGCTGACAGAGACATTGCAATGTTTCTACACTGTTCTCACTCAGAATATGATGTGGGGATGGCGACTTGTGAAATTTCAAAGCCACACGTGCAGTTTCATTTAGGCAACATGGGAAAGCTGTTCCATCCCAAACTCCTACATCATTTATGTAGGCCGACTGCTTTTTAGACACTAAATGGTGCAAGAATGTTAAGAGGAGCCCTAATGAATTAAGCCAATCAGGTCCTCTAGTTCATCTCCTTGTTTCCGAAGGTGCTGATGACGACTTAGGTCAGAGGTGTCAAACTCATTTGTCATGAGAGCCGGATCTGACATAAATGTCACTTTGTCAGGCTGGGTCATGTGTGTTATAAAACGTAATGCCAGGTACCGGAGACATAAACTGTATAGAGGACAGCAGCTGGTAAGCTCTGAGTGGCTGTATCCTCACTGCAAGGCCCCACAGGCTGGGTGTGTGTGTGCAAAGGAAAACCCATATGGGCAGACTGGAGAGCTAGTAGTGCAGCACTGGGCAGACGCTCCCATGCAGCTTGACCGCTGCAGACAAGACTGTTCCAACATGCTGAAGCTACAATCGGAGTGGCTCCTCCCATTCCCCCCTCAAGCAGTCTCCTGTTCCGTCCCTTGTAATAGTTGCTCGCGGGCCACATAAGAGCTCTGGGCGGGCCAGTTCCGGCCCCCGGGCCTTAAGTTTGACACCCCTGACTTAGGTGGCCCATGAGACTTTGTAAGCGGCTATTCCTTTCATGCTGGGCATCTCCAGTGTGAAGTGCTGAGAAGCAGATGGCCGGCACAGAAGCACCTAAAAAACCACTGAGAGACCTGTCTTTTTGTCCAGCTTGAATTTACTGCCAGTCAGTTTCAACTGGCAACCTTGAATTCTACTGATACGGAACAGGGAGGAAAAAGTCTGTGTTTACCTTCCAAGCCATTCAATAGTTTTATAAACCTTTCTTACCTCACTCACCTTGCTTTCTTCCGTTCTTTTCCCCCCAAAGTACTCCAAATGTTTGTAAAGAAGCAGCTTAAGCCCCCTTGATTTGGGGCGGGGAGTTATTTTTGCATTTTGGGTATATGTGTCTGGAAGTCATGACAACCTCTGGTGACTCCTACTGGAAGTCATGGCAACCTCTGGTGACTCCTACTGGGGCAAGTAGGACATTCAGAGAAGTGGCTTGATAGCCTGCCTCTGGCCTCCTGACCATGGTATTCTTTACAGGTCTCCCATCCAAATACTTTTCAGGGTCGGCCCTGCTGGGCTATCCAGGTCAGGGCAAGCCCCTTTGATTATTTTGACTACCCCTCTCTGCCCTTTTTCCAGCTTTAGGACACACTTTCTGAGAACAGCAACCAGAATGCTCACAGTCTTGCAAAAACAGCCACACTGTGTGAGTCCTGCAGATTTTCAGTTCACTTCCCAATAATCCCTATCACAGAACTTGCCTTTTTCACAGCCACGGTGATGATTCTTTTCTGGGAGCTAGCCTAGCTAATCTCTCGCCAAAGAGTAACGTTTATTTAGAACTCTTTGGCAACAGGTTAAAAAAAATTAGAATCTTCAAGTATATATAATATGCTTCAGAACACTCCTATCCAATGTTCCCTCTAAGCTGAGTTAGTGTGAGCTAGCTCACAGTTTTTTAGCCTCCGGCTCACGCATTTTTGTCTTAGCTCACGAAGGAGGGCTCCAGAGCAAACTAATTTATGCAGTAGACAAACTGCTTGCTCACAACTTTAATGCCAGTAGCTCACAAAGTAGAATTTTTGCTCACAAGACTCCACAGCTTAGAGGGAACCTTGCGAGTCCTATCTACACGTTTGCTGACACAGTCGGAAGAATTCTTAAGAAGTTAGTGTGGTACGATTCCCCTCTTGAAAGCCATGCCTACCAATCACAACACAGGATAGGTTATACCAAATTTCACTGATTACCACTCTCCTACACAGCACTTTTCACAGCCACTGTTATTAAATAGCTCTAAGAAGTTCTTTCCATCTGCTGCTGCAATACCAGACAGTAATTTTATTACCCTAGTCAATAAGAAAGTGTTCCAGCTACAAATCTTGAAATTACAACAGCACCTGCATCAGCCTCCTTTTGCGCTTAAAGTTGTGTTATGGGTTGACTTTGCTCGCTGTTACCTTATTGTCAGTTGGAATAATTATGTGTATTGTCAATACTTGCTGCTTATGACATCAAACCTTTCCCTAGCTCGCAGCCACAAGGAGCAGCTCCTAAAAAGGTATGCCATTTAGGTTACGCAGTCTAAAATTGGAAGCAGCAACCAGACTAGTTATCTCTGTCCCACCTATCAGCTGTGTTTTTACACACAAGAACAGGCAGGCTTAGAAAATACACTAGGGTACCTGAAAGAGAAAGAGGTGTACTACTGCAAGGTTGAAAATAGCGACTCTCTGTCCATACAATATGGCCAATGCCCAATTTCCATATTTGCCTCACAACTACCCTATGAAGGTTAGCCAGTAACATGTCTACCAAGGAAGTTTTTTGCTCGATCAGGGATACAAAACAGGTATGACACATTTATGTACTGTAGCTCACAAACGCCCCTCCCCCAGTTCTGGCATCAATATTAGAACAGCAGATACAATTAAGACCACCTTTGTGGAAGAGGAGAGCAGCCACCGAAGTGGTCCCTGTTTATCTACTTGCAATTTCTTGCTTTCGAACTGCTAGGTTGGCAGGAGCTGGAACTAGAGACGGGAGCTCACTCCGTCATGCGGCAACTCGGGTCTTGAACTGCTGAACTACGGACCTTCCACAGCCTGCAGTTCAGCGTCTTAACCACTTGAGCCACCACAGCTCCCTATGAAGGTTAGCCAGTAACATATCTACCAAGGAAGTTTTTTGCTCGATCAGGGATACAAAACAGGTATGACACATTTATGTACTGTAGCTCACAAACTCCCCTCCCCCAGTTCTGGCATCAATACATCAATATTAGAACAGCAGATACAATGAAGACCACCTTTGTGGAAGAGGAGAGCAGAAATGGCATTATATTTAAACCCACAGGTACAGCAAGACGTAAGCCCAAATAAATACCAGTGCAATAAAAGAGTAATGTTGCTTTTGAGTAACACTGCTTTTGCCCATCAGTGATTCTAGCAGCCACCACCTAAAGTCCAGTTTTGCAAACATCGGGATTTGGAAGTGGAATACCTGAGATCAATTCCCAAACTTTGATACTGAGGGAACAAGTGAGCGGCCCACTTCAGACTCGTCTTCCTGATTTTTTTCAGTCAGTAAAGGAAATCTGAAAACATGGTTCTCATGCTATGTTTAGGTTCAGAGCAGTAAAGACTTTAAACCCAAATTTAAGAAGCTGAAGAGTAGCCGAACTCATGGTTACTTCACCCTTGGGGGGGAGAAACAAAAACCAAGAATTACAGCTACCCACTTAAATTATATGGGCAACCCTAATCCCTGTGAAGAATACTAACCCTACCTACCCTAAATACTAACCCTACCTGCCCTACCCTACTCTGCTTTTCCCCAGCAACGCTATACACAACACATGCTCAAATGTACACTGCTGTTCTCTTTCAATAGCATAACCAGCATCCCACCAGGCTCTGTATTCAGACAGAGGTCAGACTCCCAATCTACCCCTATACACCAGGAACAATTGTTTTGAGTTCTACCCTTTTTAAAATCCCAAGTCTGAATATAAAAATACCATCCTGAACACCATTACACCCCTCTTAACTCACTGACTTCCATGGAAACAGAAGGGTGTAACTCTGTTTAAGAGAACACTGAAAGTGACCTTGAACACACAGCCTCAGTTATAGCAGGGGTGGAAGTCATCATCAGTCAGCATCAAATTCCCAAGCACACAAGAGATTGAGTGGGCTGGCATTTTCTAACATAAGCCAAGACTACAAGAATCCCACATGCCATATTATTGCAATGGACTCCTAGAGGTCTGATCAAAGGGCACAGGAATTGGAATTCCTCTATTCTGACATCAAAAATCCCCCCCCCAATGATCCATAATGGGATAGCACAACCTTGAAAGACTAAAATTTCATTCCTTCAAAACAAATTAAACACAGGAAGGAGGGAGCTAAGCAGAATCACACCCTTCTAAACCTATTAACCTCAATGGACTGAGAAGGGGGCAATTCACTTTAGGATTGCACTGTGAAGTGCACAGGAACGGCCCACGCCTTCACAAGGAGGTGCGAAAGGAAAGCAATAAGGATGCCAGCCTCCAGGTGGGACCTGGTGATCCCCTGGAATTACGGTTTATCTCCAGACTACAAAAACATATTCCCCTGGAGAAAACGGATGCTCTGGAGGGTGGACTGACTCTATGGCATTCTATCCCAATGAGGTTCCTGTCCTCCCCAGGTTCTATCTCCAAATCTCCAGGAGTTTCCCAACCTGGATCTGGCCCCCCTACCCTACCCCTCCCATCCCCAGCCGGTGGCCAGGGGCGACCTGGTAACCCTAAACGCATTCGTTCCCTTTAGCCACAAGTTTGGGACTAACAAATATGCATCTCCGTGACTCTTTTTACATACATACAACCCACCCACACCCCAAAAGATACATCCTCGGGCCTGGGAGAAAGAAGGAACTGGGACTTGGTGGGTCGCCATTCGTTCTCCCTCCCCAGTAACCAGATCAAGTTGGGGAAAGCATAGAAGACTGAGGGGGGACCTGCTTCAATTGCGTACAGGCTTCGGTTGGAAGAGAGAACGGACGAGCTGGTCTGTTTCCTCCAACGTAAACCTCCCACAAGCACGCAAACCCCCCGCGAACCGCTCAAAAAAACCCTTACCTGAGCCCAATGATACGATAACGCCGTCCCCTCCAAAGGCCCACCTCGCTTCCCTGCTGGATTTGCGCTCGCTTTTGCCTTTCTCCAAGGCCTTCTTCCTCGTAAAGTAAGTGGATTGCGTAAGTCCGCGCAGGCGCCCAGAGCCTGAAGGCCGAGGGAAAGGTGAGGGAGGGGCGAGAGAGTGGAGTGGAGAGGAGTAACCCCGCCCCGTTGCTTTTCGCCTGCTACTTTTAGTGGGTTTGTCTAGAAGAGGATATACTTTTTCCTTCCGAGCTAGCGAGAGAGTGGCTGGGATTACCAGGCCGAGTTTCTTCCATCTCCATTTATTTATGTATGTTATTGATAGTTCGCCCTTCTCACTGTGACTCAAGGTGGATTACGTAGAGTAAATCAATATAACCCCCAGGACAGGACATCTAATAAGCAATGCAATAAGATTTGTATCGCGGTGCAATCCCTAAACAAGAGTGACACGCTAACTTCAAAGAAAGCAACACAAATCTTCTAATGTTGAGGCTAACCCAAACGACAACGAAACATTGTGCAGGCTTTCAAGTTCTGTAGAACCCTTGGTGAGGGTGGGTGTTACAAAAATGGGGGGGGGGCTGTTTTTCCTTCTTCATTTTTAAAATTTATGTCATATCTGCTCGGTGAGGGGTTCTGCTGAATACCTTATGCAAAGTTTTGTGTCCCTTGGGTGGGCCTCAGTAAAAGGTATTACAGCAGGGCTCCCCAACCTTTTTCAGCCTGCGGGTACATTTGGGTACATTTTAAATTAAGCCACGGCTTAATTTAAGTAACACGGTGTAGATGCTTGTGTTGTGGTAGCAGCCAATGTTCCTTCTAAGCTGTGGAGTCCCATGAACCAAAATTCTACTTTGTGAGCTTCTGGCATTAAAGTTGTGAGCAGGTGATTTGGCTACTGCATAAATTAATTTGCTCTAGAGCCATCCTTCCTGAATTTAGACAAAAATGTGTGAGCCAGAGGCTAAAAAACTGTGAGCTAGCTCATATTAACTCAGCTTAGAGGGAACATTGGTGGCAGCTGCTGCCAAAGCAACCTTTAAAAAAAAACTCTGCACGTCCAATCGAATCTTCAATAGTCAGTCAAAAGCCTCACTGGGCAAAAGTCCTATCTGAACCTACTCATTTTCTAAAAACATTTGGTGGGTGCCACATTGGGGACTCCTGTATTACAGGGTACATGATTTGGTTCCTTTTTCTGGATTTCGCCTGGGCCAGTGTGGCACTGCTTACAAGTTTTTTTCTATGTTGACTTCAGTGCGTTTTGAAGGGTCTAACTCTGTTCAGGATTGCGCTGCTGATCTCTTTTATGTTTTACTTCTGTGTCAGCATGTTTTATCTGACCTGACATCACCATTATGCTGTATGTTAATTTACTGTTTGCTGTGCCTTATATGTATGGACTGGTAAATTCTGTTTCATTGTATCTAAAGAAGCGTGCGTGCAACCGAAACTTTGTTGGGTCTTAAAGATGCCGCTGGACTCAAACTTTGTTCTGCATAGGATTGTACTTCAAATGCCCCTGCAGGACTCCAATTGTAACTTTCTGTCGGTGACTTCTTTCCATTTCCAACAACAAGCCTCTCCTACAAACCGCAACTCAGGGCACAGTGAAATCCCCCCCGTCCCCGTCCTGAAACTATAAATCTCGTTTTAACCAGCTTTTCTTTGGAACAGCCTCCCTCCTGCCCCCGCCTTTCTGCTATTAAAATAAATGCACCAACGTAATGGATCTATACTTCCACGCACTTGGTGAGGTGAGCTCTAAAATACACGATAGAACACATTTTACTAATGGCAGGTTGCAATCCTGTTCTATTTAAGTGTAGAAGTTCCCCCTCCCCGGGGGGGATGATAAGAGGTTCCCCCAACTTCGAACGTCTATGATCAAACAGAAGTCCAGAAAGGGCGCGCGGTCCTTCTAGCCGTCCCGTCTCTATGTTGCGACGCTCGGGGAGCCATTTTGTTGCCCCCGACATGCGCGGTGACGTCACTGCACCGTCGAACGCCATTGCTTCGGCGCCGTCTCCCGTTTCTTCTCCGTAGTAACCGTCTGTGTGGGGAGCGGGGCGGGTGAAAAAAAGCCCCACAACCCCGTTTAGGTCTGAGGAGGCGGTGGGTAAGTGGAGAAGGAAGCGAGGGGCCGAAGGGGAGAGGCCGCGTCGTTGCCCCTCTGGGTGGCTGAGGGCGGAGGAGGGGGCGGGGCTGCGGCCTAGAGGGGGCCTCGGCGCCTCCTTTGATTAGTTCTTCCTTCGCCTGGGGAGGTCCTCTCTGTGGGGGAGCTTGACTGTGCTATCGGCGATACTCTGTGGCTCCCCCGTGCAGGACTGGTAGATGGGGGGGGGGCGACGTATTTGCAGAGGTGCGGCCCCCCCCCCCTCCGCCTTTCGCAGCCAAGGCAAAACAGGAGCCGTGGGGCGCCTTAAAGGACGAACAGCTACGCAGCTGCCGCATCCTTCTGCGTTCTTACTCGGGAGTGAGCCCTGTTGAGCTTGGCAGAGGTAAGAGCAAGAGTCCAGTGGCACCTGAAGACTAACAAAATATGTGGTAGGGGATGAGCTTTCGTAAGTCAATGCTGACTTCTTCGGAGTGACTCACGAAAGCTCATCCCTGCCACACGTTTTGTTAGTCTTTAGGATGCTACTGGACCAGGGATGCCAGCCTGCAGGTGGGACCTGGGGATCCCCTGGAATTATAGCTCATCTCCATATTACAGAAATCGCTTCCCTTGGAGAAAATGGATGTCTTCAAGGGTGGACTCTATGGCATTGTACCCCACTGAGGTCCTTGTCCTCTCCAAACTCCACCCCCAAATCAACAGAAGTTTCCCAGCCTGGATCTGGCAACCTTAATACCCCACCCCACCCCCCACCAGTGGCCAGGCAGGACCTGGCAACCCTATATTGGACTCTTGCTCTTTTCTAATGCTACAGACTAACAGGGCTACCCATCTTGATCTTGTTCCCCTAAGTTAATATGTATAGGATGGCACCCTTATGCAGGGCACGAGACTTTTGTGGGAGTGAGGCTCGCTTCGCCACCCCTCACAATAATTCTCCCTCACCTGTCCTTGTGCCGGATGTACCCTGTTTCCCCGAAAATAAGACCTACCCCAAAAATAAGCCCTAGCAGGATTTCTATGCATTTGTGGTATAAGCCCTAGTGTGTCTTCTTGAGAAAAAATAAATATAAGACAGTGTCTTATTTTCGGGGAAACACGGTAGGATACTTTATAAATGTGTCTGTGCACTGAAGCCCTGACCTGTATGGCCCAGCCTGGCCTGCTGTCATCTTGGAAGCTAAGTAGGATCAGCCCTGGTTAGTGCTTGGATGGGAGGCCACCAAGGAAGTCCAGAAGGGGCAGGCAGTGGCAAACCAAATCTGTTAATCTCTTGCCTAGGGGGTCGCCATAAACTGGCTGTGACTTGACTGGACTTTACGCGCACACAAAGCTCACTCAGTGAAGGTGGGCTTCAAGCATCCGACCCAAGTGAAAACTGTCTTTAGAACAGCACTTGCTGGGCTTTTTAAAAAGCCTTTAAGGTGCCACTGGATTTCTGTTTAATTTTGCTGCAACACAATTGCCTTGCTGGGGGGGGGGGTCGCAGTCCTATGCAGATTTAGTTACTCCAGTCAAAGTTCACAGTGTTCAGTAGGTTTAGATTGGAATAATGCTATGTAAACTAATCTGTTTGTCTCGAAATATGCTGTAAGTCATCTCTTTGTAGATGGTGTAGACTAAAGTCTGCTTGAATAGGAAAGGTGGTCATGGCTTCCATCCCGTCACCTGCACTTCCATCTCATTTGTTCTGGTGTTTCTGTTATGACCAAGATGAATGACTGATTACCGGTGAACGGCTGAGGATGGCTGTGTGAGCAAGTTAGTCTGAGGATGTGCCTTGACTTCTGTGGTGGAGGTGGGAACTGAACACAGGTCTGTCAGGGGGTTGTTTTTCTTTGTTGAATTGCACTGGCTGCATTTGTAAAATGGTGATAGTTTTACAGAGAATGATGTTCATAGGATTCTAGCGCTGGAAGGCACCAAGAAGCCATCTAAACTACATACATTTCTGCTTAACCCCCACCTAGAGATCAGTCTATGGAGTCCAAACTACAAAATGCTAGTGTAATAGGGATGCATTCTGTAACAATTTTGAGTGGTTCAAACAAGCAAGTCAAACTAGTGGCTAAAGAAAACCTCAGACATAATTTTTTTAAAAAGGTTCTCTAGCCAGTGGACCTGAGTAGCCTTCAAAAAGTCACATTGTGTTCTGTTCTGATCTCTGTGGTAAGAGGGTGGGATACAAACGCAGTATGCATAATTACTACTTGATTGCAAATAATGGTGACTTTTGTTTAAAGTTTGAAGACAAATGAATAAGCGCCATTTGTAAGTAACGCAGTATGCACAAGGTAAAATCACTTTGTAATCATCTCATGTTTATTTACACATCAAGGTGTCTTGCTGCTTGTCTTCATCCCCTTCTGCCTTCCGGTAGAGCTGCTGTTCCTTGTTTTCATACCCCGCAAGACACAGGATACTTTCTTCTCTCCTTCAGACTGTTTTCCGTTCATCTTGGGAGAACTTTGTAATTACAATCTCAGCACACGAACTATTTCCACAATCAACACTATCAAACCCTCCACTGAAAATATGGTACGCTAGAAAGTAGAGTACACACTCTGCAGAGCTTTGAAAATCCTAGATGTGAGAGTAGACAAGAAAGTTAACTATGAACTGGAGTAAAGGACTCTGATAGTAAGCCCTTAACAGTGTTAGTATGAATTGTAAATTATCAGATTAAGATCTTTTTGTTATATGGTTAACTGACTTTTCACAATAATTTCATGCAAATTATCATTTTTTCCACTTTTTAGATCTTTGTATACAGTAGGTCCTTTCACTCACCTTAATTTACATTTCTAATGAGATTGGTGGTTTTTTTTGAGAAGATGTTCTATTAATTTTTCTAGATCAGACTCGCGTATCTTAGTTCCGTGGTGGTTATCTGTGAAGTTTTGTTGTTTACTTGGATGCTTTCAACTAGCTCTGAAATGGGGAAGCGGTTTTACAGCTAGCACACTTTTTCATCCGTATTAGGCTGACGCCATGAACTGGAACAAAGGTGGCCCTGGTACCAAAAGGGGTTTTGGTTTCGGTGGCTTCTCAATATCAGCTGGAAAGAAGGAAGAGCCAAAACTCCCTCAACAGTCTCATAGTGCTTTTGGAGCCACTGGTTCTGCAGCTGGATTCGGGAAAACACCACCACCTCAGCTGCCTTCTTTTTACAAGATTGGATCCAAACGGGCAAACTTTGATGAGGAGAATGCGTAAGCTGCTCATCTTTTTCATTCTGTGGTCCTGGTCACACGGGCCGTAAAATGCAGGGGGGAAGCATGACAGTTTGGCCCGGATCACAGGTCCCGTGGGTAGGGGCAAGGTGGCAATCACACGATGATCCTGCAGCGCAGCAAAGAAGCGGCGCTGCGCGATTCTGCGGAGCAACGGAACTTTCGCTTTCCTCTTCGTGCACATGCGCTGTTGGGTGCTTGTGCGCATCCTGTGGAGACTTGGGGGGGGGAACCTGTTTGCGACGGGACATGAGCGAGCGCCGGATGCCACGGACTACCACCGGAAACGCGATCAGACACCAGCCCTTGCCCCGCGGTTTCCGGAAACTAGTCCCTCGGAGGGACTAGTTTTTAACTCCGCATCTTCAGCGGGAAGCCTCGGGTTCGCCATGGGAGCTCTGAGCTTCCCAGATGTTGCGGTGTGATCGCGCCCGGAAAATCCGCCTATCATCCGTCTCCGTAGCATGGCTAATGCTCCATGTGACCGCAGCCCTAGTTTATCAGATTTGCTCGCTTTTGCAAGTTAAGCTAGTGTTCTTTGTTTCTTGGTCAGTTTTTTGTGCAGTTCTTAGGTTGTGTGGCTGATGGGGTCCAAGGTTTTTCACTTCTCAGCTCCAGCAGAGGATTTCCTTGCCCCAACTCTCCTGACAGTTGAAGGAAGTGAGCCCTTCACATCAAACTAGAAATCCTTCTGCCTGCCACACTTACTGACTAGTGATTTCTGGAGTGTCTTGTTAGAACTTTTAGATTTACACTTTATTTCGCCAGCATGAGTTTAAAGTGTGTGTTTGAGAGAGATATGGCACGCTTTTTCTTTTAGTAAGCTCGGTATGTGCTGACTTGGTTCTTTGTACGTCTCAATTTGCAGGTATTTTGAGGATGAAGAGGAAGATTCTAATAATGTTGACTTGCCGTACATTCCTGCCGAGAACTCTCCCACTCGGCAGCAATTTCATTCCAAAACACCGGACTCGGACAGTGAGGATGACCCCTTGGAGGCGTTCATGGCTGAAGTCGAGGTGAACTACCATTTCATTTTGAGCTGCAGTGACTGGATGATTTCATGATTCACTAGAAATTTTTTAAGTCAGTAGCCCTGAAGAGATTAGCCCTAAATATTTCTACCCTATTTTAAACATTTTTTAAAAAAAGTCTGTCTCTAATCCTAGGACACTCAGGTTACAATTATTCAGTAAAACCATAAAATCTGGATGTTACCATTAAACAAAATGAAAGTCCGTGGCAAAACTGTCAGAAACACAACCTGAAGGCTAGTTGGGCTACAAAAGTCTTTATTGTACATGTATTCCCTCACTAGGGAGTTGAACAGTTGAGGCACCACCACAGAAAGGCCCTAGGCACATAATTAAACTCGGGACTGTGGGAAACAAAAATAGGTTTGTGTGTATTTGACTCTCTGGCCCATCCAGATAGCAACACAAAACCACTCAGTTAAGAACAGTCAGCCAGTAATATCTTTTTATTGCTTCATGGTGCCATAAAGGGAGTGCAAACGAACTCAACTCCACATTCCAAAAACAATCAATTTATCACCTGTGTCCCGACTGGAAATCCCTGCTCCTCCTCCTTTACTGGATTCAAAGCTTACACTCTTTCAGCTCTGCCTACATCATACACAATATAACATACAAGACTTCTCCTCCCTCATCATGGATCGTATGTGCATTTAAAATAGCTCATTAAGTAAACAAGGCGGGTTAGGTAATATTCAGTCGCTAATTAGGCATGCGTGATTGATTAGTGTTTATGTATGTCAAGGCTATTCCTTGCCTTCTAAATTCTTTACAACCCCCCCTTCCATTTTATCTCTAAGTTTGTTACTCCTGCTTCTGCTTCTCAGCAAGGCCCATAATTTCGCTATTGTTCTTAAAAGTTACAGCTCCTTGCTTCAGCTCATTTTAACCATTTACTCCCCTTAGGAGGGAAGGAGCAAAGTCTTATCCACCATTTTCAATAGTCAGGGAGAAGGCTCAGTCTACAAATCCCACTGCAGATTTTTTGTATATATGGATGTGCATGCACTGCAGAATGCTTCAAGTAGTATGGTAGGACTAGGCTAGAAGTGCAAGGAACCAATAGTGGTTTTTGGGGTTTTGTTTTATTTCAAATTAAATTGTACAACAAGATATAACAGTATTAAAGTACAGCGTAATAACATCTAAAAGCAGAATAAATAAGTCGATAGAGAAATAGTGCACATCACAACACCTCAACCGATAGACCTTCTACATTACATAAATATATTGATTCACTGACTCAAGGGGGTAAGGGAATTGAACACCATCCCTTCTCAACATTCTATCATAATAAAGTGTCATAGTGTGAGCCACTTGTGATACTGTGAATTTGCTGGTAGGATATCATGCATGGTAAGGTATGAGAATATTGGAAACCAGATCGAATCGAATTTAGAGTTAAATGTATGAGAAGTTTGGGCCCTATGCATCCTGTCTGTGATTTTGGCCATTACAAATTGATCCCATACTTTTTCATACCACACCGTTAGAGTCGGCTGCGAAGAAGCTTTCCATAAAGACGCTATTGTTAGGCGAGCTGAAGCTAGTAGTAGTGAGATTATTTCCCTGTTTCTACTATCTATCTCGGTGTCCCAGTGATTTAATAAGAAAATCTCAGGTTTGAAGTTAAGATTGTGCAAGGTTATATCATAAATCTGTTTTCTGACCTCCTCCCAAAATTTGCCGATTTTCGGGCACTCCCACCAACAATGTAGGTAGGTACCAACCTGCCCACAGCCTCTCCAGCAATGCGGGTCATTGTTCCTGTTTATTTTATGTAACTGGTGTGGAGTTATGTACCAGCGAGAGTACGTTTTGAAAAATTGAAGTCGAACATTAAAAATGTTGGAGATATTGGCCGGGGAGGACCAAACAGTGTCCCAGTCTGCTTCATCCCATTGTACCAGCAGCTCTTCTTCCCACCGGTGTTGAAAGTTGAATTTTGGAACATTCTCCCCCAAGATAATCGTATGGTATATCTTAGATACCGTGCCCTTCGGAGAATTAGGGTATTGCTTAATGATTTTTTCCAAGGTTGTTAGCTCTCTCCTAAATATACCCAATTCCGTGAGGTGATCAATGAGGTTTTTTAACTGCAGATACTCAAACCAAGGGGTCTGTTTCCCTAGTTTCTGATCAAAAAATTGCTTATCTCAGAACGTATCTTTGTCCCTTAAGTCTTGGAGACGGCCATATCCTGCTGCCTTCCACTCTTTAAATGCGTGAGGGATTAGGCCTGGCTGGAACCAATCTTGGCCTGTAAATGTGGACAACTGCGAAATCCCCTGAGGGAGGAGATGCTTGATCTTGTCCCATGTTGCGAGTGCGGTTGCCAACAAAAATTTCTCCTTAACTGATCTTGGTCTGGAAGCGGGCTTAATCCAGATGATTTCTTAACCAATAGTCTTGTTGACCACAGAAGTCATCTCCTGGCAACTGGGTCATCAACTCTTTCTGCTGCTGCATTCTTTTGCATGTAGCTCTGTGAATTTCAGTGTAAGAAGACATTTTGGGTCCTGAGATGTGTTTCTTTTGGTCCCCCTTAGGATCAGGCTGCTAGAGACATGAAGAGGCTGGAAGATAAAGACAAAGAAAGGAAAAATACAAAGTAAGTTTTTTTCATACATTGCAACCAAATCAAAATCCAGGAGATGGACAAGTGCATGGAATTATTCTATATTGTTTCCTTAGGGATAACATTTCAAGGTTTTTTGCCAAGCCAAGATCTTTAGGCCTTTTTGAACCTCCTTAAAGGCTGTGATCTGAATTCTGAGGGTTGATTTGTGGGAGGGTGGTATATGAATGACTGTGCCTTGCAGCAAGAGGGCCCCGATCCGCTTAAGATTCTGCAGACAGCTCATCTCTCGTATGTGGTAGACGTGAAACAAATTCATTCGAGATGGCCCTTCATAATTTGGCAAGCCCTGGTGGGTTGGAATTCATGTAGTCGTGTCTTTGTTGCTGCTGATTGTTGTTGATGTGGAGTCATATTGATACTGGTCAGGTTGAATGTATGGAGATGGGTATGTGGAACATTTGCAGGGAAGTTTTGTTTCTCTGCTTGTTTTTCCAGGGGTATACGCGATGATATTGAAGAGGAAGATGACCAAGTGAGTTTTCCACGCAATCTTTCTATCTATTATGAAACAATCTCCAAATAACCTGCAAACACAAATTCCTTAACATTCTTTGAAATAGATTGGAATCACTTGAAATGGTGCCCAGTTGTATTGTTTGCTAGGGGGATATTGTATGTGTGTGTGTCCCATCTAAATGCATTGGATCATGTAAATAATAGCTGAAAAACCTTTGAGCTTGTGCTTTATCTCCACATCAACGGGACCATTGTTAATTATTTTCCAATTCCTGTTATTTAACACCAGTGACCAATAGCTTTATTTACATTTACATAAAGGAATACTTGTAACTCAAATTCCAGAAACTCTACCCTAGTAGTTCCCATTTTGCGTGAACCACTGCTCATGCCTTGGCTCTTCCTGATCAGCCCCTTCGGGTCAGAAGGGAAATGAGTTTGTCCATCCTTTGTATCAAGTGCAGTGGGAGCATTCAGTCACTTCTGAGTCAAAGACATAGCAGAATGATCCACAGATTTCAGTGGAGGTTGCCCATTGTATCTTTGCGTGAGCCCCAGTTCTGCTGGCACGCTCAGAACAATGACAGCTCAGGATGAAGGTCACTGAGGACAGATTATTGTTGCTCATACCAATTCTAACAATAGATTCTTTGATTTGATTTTAATTTAAAGTGTGCTTCAGCTGTCAGAACCTTCTGCTGTACTGTTTTAGCCCACCTAGAGTGATATGGTTAAAGTGGAACATGTTTTGAGCCTGAATGGAAATCTGCCGTTTGGGGATCTTGACAGTAAGGAACTCGAACACACCACCCTGTTCCCTTGATAGACATTAATGCTATCTTGGAGGATTGCAAGTGCTGTTTAATGTAGTGAATGTCCATGAGGCGTAGCTGAGGAATAAGGACTGAAGAAGAAGCTCACTTAAATTTACAGCACTGCAAAATTCTCTGCAGATTGAAAACCTGAATTCATTGGTGGGTAGAGTTGATTGTACCTTCCCATCCTCCTTTGTCTTTGTTGTTGCCCACTCCTTTTCCCTATCAGCTTTGCAGGAAATTAAGTGCATTGTGGAAAACATGTTGTCTGCCAGCTTAATACACACAAACCTCTATCTCATGCTCTCTTTTTCAAAACCTTGTTGGATTGTTAAAGAGTTGCAGTAGTCTGATGTTGCACAAAGAAGAATGTCAGTTTAAAAAATTGCTTCTGTTATCTGGCATTTAAATCAGTTTACATATTGGAGGGGAAATCAACAAAGTTGCCTTATTTTTTAGAATCTGTTAGGCAAGAGACAGTTCCTCCTCATTGAAAGTCTAAAATTAAATTCTGACTAGAAGGGAAAGTACTCATTATTTTTTCCCCTTCAAGTTTAAGAATATGGAATATTCCCTTTTTACAGTAATACATTAACATGGTCTCTAAAAATCTTTGAAGGAGCACATAATTCAGAGAGTTGTTTGAATGTTCCTGTTACCTAAAGTAGATATTTCCATCTCCTTAAGTAGGTAGTAGAACAGAACCTTCCAGAATTTCAGAGGAAAACTCCAAGTTTGTTCAAAGGCCCATAGTTTCCCATCAGTGTTGATTTATGGAATTGTTTATGGAAGCTTGTGTCCTTCCCGAATAACTCTTTCCTGGACTTGAGGCAAAGCAACTAGAGTGATACATTTCATTGGAGCAATATAAGGTGGCATAGGAATATATGAGATTTTGAGTTTCACAGAATTCTTCCCGAGCCCAAATCATATTAGAACTGAGATGCAGTTGGAACACTCAACTTTGGCACTTCTTACCATTGGTTCTTGGATGTTGCTTGCACATAGATTTCATAAGAACATAAGAAGACCCTTGTTGGATCAGACCAGTGGTCCGTCTAGTCCAGCATCCTGTCTCACACAGTGGCTAATCAGTTCCTTTGGAGGGTCAACAACAGGGCATGAAGGCCTGATACTGATGTTGCCTCCCAGCTCTGGGATTTAGAGGCTTAGTGCCTCTGAATGTGGAGGTTCCCCTCAGTCACCATGGCTAGTAGCCACTGATAGAACTATTCTCCATTAATCTATCTAATCCCCTTTTACAGCTGTTTATTCCTGTAGCCATCACTACATCCTCTGGCAGCAGATTCCACATTTGATTCACTCTCTGTAAAGAAGTATTTCCTTGTGAAGAGTATCTGGTTCCTTAATCACATTCTCCATTAGGTTTAGAAGAGGGGAAAAGAAACCCTTTGGTACAATTTGCTTTGTAGTCTAAGGATATAGGAATTATGACTGGGGACAAATGATAGCTCTTAGGAGAAAAAAAGGTGGGTGCAGCAAATTGGATCACAGAAATTATTGCTCTGCATGCCCACGCATATCTGCATTAGTAATTTGTGGCCCATTGACTATCTGAAAGAAGTGCCAGCTCTTCCGGTTTCAGAGAAGCTAACCTAGAAGTAATTAAGTTGCCAGCTGACCAAAGAGCTGTTTACAAACTTGCATTAAGGCCAGATGAGGCTTAATGTAAAGTAAAGGGAATACATTGGGGCATGTGTAGGGTATCTCCATTGATCATTTCACTGATATTTCGCAGGGCTCTTTTTGTAGCAGGAACTCCTTTGCATATTAGGCCACACACCCCTAATGTAGCCAATCCTCCAAGAGCTTACAGAGCTCTTCTTACAGGAGCTACTGTAAGCTCTTGGAGGATTGGCTACATTAGGGGTGTGTCGCTTAATATGCAAATGAGTACCTGCTACAGAAAGAGCCCTGGTTGGGGGTTGGTAGAAAGGGTTTCCAGGGCAGTGGTGTAACATCTGAGCAGGCTTCAGCCTCAACACTTCTCAGAACAGCAAGGTAGTGTCATCTCAGCATTGGTGAAAACTTTTCTTTTTGAGATACTGCTTCAACATTTGGGATGCCCTGAAATTTCCAATTTGCTATTTGGGCCAGATATAGCATCCAGTGTACAAACCTTTAATTCAGGTCTCCTAAATCATTGCACTGGTATTACTGAAAGAGCACTATTAAAGTTGAAAGTCATAGGTAACCGGTTTCTTCTCTGTAAGTAGGTAAGTGTTAAAAATAAGCAATGTATCTAGCAGTTAAGCAAAAACTTCTTGTATGCAGTTATATTGCTGTGTTTTGCTGCAGGAGGCTTACTTCCGTTACATGGCAGAAAACCCCAATGCTGGTGTGGTCCCAGAAGAAGAGGAGGACAACCTGGAGTATGACAGTGATGGAAATCCAATTGCTCCCTCCAAAAAAATCATTGACCCTCTTCCTCCAATTGACCATTCAGAGGTGAGGGAGTTTTATCCATCACACTGAGCATCTAAGGTTAGAAAGCGAGGTGCTCAAACTGATATATACAGAAGATTTACATTGTGACCGCTCACAGCTGTTTAAAGCCCAACTGATCAATTAGTTCTCTCCCAGAAGCTACACGCTTGCCAATAACTATTGCCTGAACAGGAATGTTCACAAACATTCCATGACATTGACTGCCACTCAAGTAGAGGCTTGATACAAAATCACAGCACTGAGGCTGTAGCACTGTGTAAAAACTACAGATGGACATGTAAAGTCCTAAAGACAATCTATTTCAAAGTTTATAAACAACTAACATTTAATACATTCGTACATATTCAATATGGTCCACATAGGACTCCTTAAACAGCTTAAATACATTAGAATACAGCCAAACTCTCTTCCTGTATACAACCCGGGTAGAGGCAGCAAGCGATTCTGAACCTGCAGGGTGACACATCTGACTAACTCTGTTTGGCTGGCAGATCGAATACCCACCATTTGAGAAGAACTTCTATGATGAGCATGAGGAAATCACCAGCCTCACTCCGCAGCAAGTGGTGGAGCTTCGCCATAAGCTGAACCTCCGGGTAAGGTATAGATGGATCTCTGCTCTGGGAGCAGCCTTGTTCAGACAGCTTAATGGCAACCGTGGATATGACACACAAGATGTAGCATTAAATTATTCCTGTCCAGTGTGCTTGTTTATTGGGGGGGGGGAATCCTTGTTAGATGTCTTGAGTATTGGTTGAGTTACAGTATTGTTTAAAAAAACAAAAATCAGTTAATCTATAACCAAAGAGACAACATTAATATTAATCCCTTAATTCAGGCCCAGATACTTCCATTATACAAAAATAGTCCAGCCAGTCAATGGAATGCAATATCTTTTAAAATAATGTTCCACAGGCTTTCCTAAAGGGCAGTATGTAGCAGACAGCCCCTGGCAGACCATTTCAAAAGGGTGGTACACGTACAGAAAATAACTAGCTGCAAAGAAGGGAATTTTAAGAAAACAGTGTTGCGCTGACCTTGGAGCAGGATTCTCCAGCCCACCAAAGGGTGGCCGGCACGGCTACAAAACGGCTGCCATGGGGGCAGGGCCAGTCATAAAATGCTGAGAGGATCCATAACAGTTGGGAGAGCCTAAGGATTGTCCTGCAGTTACTTCTTCGTGGGTGTTCCTTGCAGACAACAGATTGTTCTTCCTGGGCTCTTTTGGAGCACCTCATGCATCCTGGAGGCAGAAGAAAGCTGGAACTGGCTTTTTGTTTTGTGGAAGAGAAGCTTTTTGGTTTCAGTTTCTAAAGGGAAGAGGTTGGAGAAGAACATGGCTTGATGGAGAGAGGGTGTCTGTTCAGGCAGAAAACATGGAGGAAAGCATGGTGACAATGAGTATGTATAGAAACGTAAGTGCAGTTTGGGTTTGGGCAACTGGTTGCCCTCAAACTACCTCAGATTTGTGTTCAGCACTTTTGAGCTGGCAAGATGCTCCTCTGCCTGTGTCACAGAATCATAGACTCAGAGAGTTGGAAGGGGCCATACAGGGCATCTAGTCCAACCCCCTGCTTAATGCAAGATCAGTCTAGAGCATCCCTGACAAGTGTTTGTCCAGCCACTGTTTAAAGACTGCCAGTGAGGGGGAGCTCACCACCTCCCTAGGTAGCTGGTTCCACTGTTGAACAACCCTTACTGTAAAAAAGTTTTTCCTAATATCCAGCCAGTACCTTCCCACCCTTAACTTAAACCCATTATTGCGAGTCCTACGATCTGCAGTGCCTTGTGTTAAGGTCCAATGGGAAACTGGAGAGGAGCTAATGATCCTACTGAGCCAGTGTGGTGTAGTAATTAAGAGCAGTGGACTCTAATCTGGAGAGCTGGGTTTGATTCCCCGCTCCTCCATATGAAGCCTGCTTGTGTGACTTTCGGCCAATCTCATTTCTCTCAGAGCTCTCTGAGCCTCACCTGCCTCACAAGGGGCCTGTTGTGGGGAGAGGAAGGGAAGGAGAGTGTAAGCTGCCTTGAGACTCCTTAGGTAAAGAAAAGCGGGGTATAAAAGCCAACTCTTCTTCTAAAAACCAACTCTTCTTTGTTCTACCACTCCTTCCAGATTTTTTGTTTTCCTCCATCATGAGCTGCTTTCCCAAGACCATGAAGCCATTTTCATCACTAGTCTCTTATGGTTTCTCCAGCTTCTAAGCAGATACTTCCTAATATTCTGTTCACTCCTTACCCCACCTGGCCTTTGACTTGCATGTGGGGAAAAAACTCCAACCCTTTCTGTGATATTGATCCGATTTGACGCATCTCTGTGGGGGAGCATTTCTGGCTCTTTCCAGGCCCGCATACTCCAAGCACTCCTTGGGTGATGTCTCTGCTGTCCCAAATAAAGCTTTCTGATTTCATGGATGCTCGTTGTGCTTTACGGGTGGATCTATCACTGCTGGACCCTGAGTAGAAATGCACCGTATTCAGTATAGGGATAGTGAATCTGTAGTCGGGAGGGAAGAGGCCTGTTATATGGATTCAATTTGTGAGACAGTATCAGGGGTAGGAGTGGATTATCTTTGACTCCCATTTTTCCCCCTCACGGGTTCTACAACATCTTGTAGGTACACTAAATGATCATCTTTCCCAAAAGAAAGTGTGCAGGCCTTTGTTCATAATTGATATGATTCTCCATAGGTCTCTGGAGCTGCTCCACCAAGGCCGGGAAGCAGTTTTGCTCATTTTGGTTTCGACGAACAACTTATGCATCAGATCAGGAAATCGGAGTACACTCAGCCTACCCCTATCCAGTGCCAGGTGGGTCCTGTAGGGTAGTAAAACAGAAATCCCAGAATATAACTTGCAGTCTCATTCTTTTTGAGGAGTAGATGGTGTCCCTCCCAACATAGCGATGCTATCAGTTTTTTCCTTGACTAACAGGCAGAGGTGTAAAATTTCCTGTGGGTTTTGTTTTTCCTAGTCCCCCCCCCCGAAAAACATAGGAAATTTTGGGGAAATATATACAATATTTACTGCCCTGTCAAACCTAAACTAATTTTACTGCTCTAATGACATGAAAGGCATCATTTATAACTTATCATATCAGATTGCAGTATTTGGCATATTTGTGGAATGTAAAAGTTATAAATGTGGTAGTTTTCTGTAAACAAAATTGCAAATACACCTAGTGCCTGAGAAGAAAACCAAGCTTAGCACATGTAACTTAATTTTTGGTATCTGAAAAGTAGAAAAAAATAGGAGCTAAATAAATAACATTAAATATATTATTTGGTCAGAAAAAGGTTGCACACAGGCTCAGTAATAACATCCATGCTGCTAGCTGTAGTTGCAGATAGATCCTGTCTTCTTTCAATCACTGCTGATTAGAGAGAGCTCAGTTCTTAATGAAACTTTTACAGATTTCCTCTGAGGCTTTGGTGCAGTTTCTGCCCTACCTCCTTTTGATCTTTTTTTTTTACTTCCCACTAAGTAAGGCAATGCTACTTTTTACCCAGTCTGTGGGTATCTGTGTCGCAGTGGTTTGAGAGAGAGGTGAAAAGGGTTAGCCACTAGGGAAGAGTCAGCTCAAAAAAACTAACAGTTGGGAAATATTGAAAGTCCTGTATGCTCCCTTTATGAAGAACTTTCTAGGTACATAAATGTATTTGGGTTTAAGAGCTCTATATCACTACAGCATGAGCTCCTTGTCTTTAAAAGCATTCACTCGTCCTGAAAGAGAAAATATTTCATAGGAGTTTTTTCAGTACTCCCCAAAAGTTCCATTTTTTTTTTCTATCAGAAAAACCTGAGAAAACGGCCTCTGGAAAAAAATGGAAACAGAACGATTTCCCCCCCAAATTTTTCTGGCTGGCGGGGGAGGACCTTGCCAGTTGTAAATTCCGTTTCCTCAATATTTGATAGCGGGATCCCCACAAATGGTAACTTCTGCGGCTACTACCATGGATCTTTATTTAAATGTGGATCTTCAGTAGAAAGGTGCTACGCAGATGTTGTTATGAATGGAATGTTTGTAAATTGTCCCCCAACTTTGCATTTGCCAGTTGTAAATTCCATTTCCTTGGTATTTGCTAGTGGGATCCCCCCAAATGGTAACTTCTTCTGAGGCTACTACCTAATGGAACTTATATAAATGTGGATCTTCAGTAGAATGCTACGCAGATGTTATTATGAATGGAATGTTTGGAAATCATCCCCCATGCTCAGGGTCACTTATTGCATTTTGGAAAGTTGGCGGGTTCAAAATATGTACAGGTGGTTTATTTATTTTTTTATCTCCCCCTTTAGGGTGTTCCAGTAGCACTGAGTGGCAGAGACATGATTGGCATAGCGAAGACTGGCAGTGGGAAGACAGCGGCTTTCATTTGGCCCATGTTGGTTCATATCATGGATCAGAAGGAGCTGGAACCAGGAGATGGACCCATTGCAGTGATTGTGTGTCCAACCAGAGAGCTGTGCCAGCAGGTAGGTACATATTTAGGACTTGTTGAAAGGCAAAGAGGATTAGTAAACCCCGACTGGGAATAGGATAGACAACCCAATGGATTCTGCTATGCGTGGCCCTTGTCCTTTGGATTTGCAGCTTGAGTTGGTAACAATATATGAAAATATTCAGTAACATTTTACATATAAGGTAATGCTCAGGGGTCCCCAGCATGGTGCCCACCAACACCTTTCCCGATGCCCACCAAGTGTTTTTTAGAAAGTGGTCAGGGCCAGATGGGGGTCTTGCCCAGCAAGGTTGGCCATTGGCCATTTGATTGGCTCTGCAGATTTTTTTTTAAAAGATTGCCACCATAGCTCCAGGGTCTTTACTGTGTAATTGAAGGTAGGCTGGGGCAGCCACTTTGTTGCTGGCTCTAGCTCTGTGGCCGCCATCTTATGGCTGTGCCCACCATTCTGTGTCAGAAGTCCAAAGGTGCCCGCAGGCTCAAAAAGGTTGGGGACCGCTGGCATAGCTCAACCACCTAGAAGGAGAACAGAGAGCCTCCAAAGATAATTTGCACACCGAGAAAGTCAGTGTGAGTGGTGATCTTCTAGTTCTTGCCGCACTGTCAGGGCCTCCCTCGATTGGTCAAAGACTTTGTAATAGAATTTTAGTGACACAGGCGGACTTGGAGTACTTGTCCCCTTTCAGATCTCAAGAGACCAGTGTTGAGGCCCAAGTGCATTGGAAGATGGCACACATACAGAGTGATGCTTCTGCAGTTGCCTCTTCCATGTCTTGGGCTCAATGTTTTGGGCTCAATTTTGTAAAGGCAGGCTGCAGATGCTACAGCCGTGGCAGGGAAGAGCAGGTATAGGATTGGTTGCCCCTGCCAGAGTGCTTGTTTTTCCCATGAATCTGCCTTTCTGTCCCCAGTCACAGTGCTATTTCATCTTGATATGATGCTGGAAATTTGTTCAGGGGGTGGGGAGGGGCCCTTAAAATTTCATCACGAGGAAAACATCAGTTCCACTACTGTTGTGAAGATGAGAGATGCGGAAAGTGCCAGAACAGATGGCTAAGAAGGAGAGGGACCTGCTGTGATCTAGATAGGAATAGTGTTTACTGAGCGGCGGGTACCAGAAGTGACAGATAGGTAGGCATGGAAGGGAAGAAGCCAAGCAGAACTCAGTCACTGGAAGGGCCACTTAAAACCAGAAAGCTTGCAGATAGCGGGGTTGGATCCTGCAGTCTGCTCTGCTGATGGTGGCTTTTTCTTCTGGCACTGACGAGCCTTCTGCCACCAGAAGAGTTTCCTCTTGCTGCAACGGGCGGCTCCCTGAGCTGGAGCAAAGTGCCACTGTTATTGAGGCGGATTGCAGGACCCAGTCCATTCACTCTGTGTGTCCTTGGATCTAAATTGCTTGGGAAGATGTACGCATTTTGCAGTTCCTTCTCTCTGCTTTCTTCATTGCCATCTTATCAATGTCCTGTGAACGTTTCTTCCTTTAGATCCATGCTGAATGCAAGCGCTTTGGGAAAGCCTACAACCTGCGCTCCGTAGCGGTGTATGGTGGAGGAAGCATGTGGGAGCAAGCAAAAGCTCTGCAAGAAGGGGCAGAAATCGTTGTCTGTACTCCAGTGAGTACTTCTCCAGGCGCCTTGCTGCCACGAGGGGCTTGGAGGGTTCAACTTTTTTTTGTAAAGGGAAGAAAGCTCTCTAAAATTAGTTCTCAGGTTTCTGAGTCTCTCTTGGCCCTAGTTCATCTTCATCTTGACTAAATCCAGACAGTTGTGATGCACACTGGAGTAAAGTCTCAAGAGGGAAAGGGATGGGGCGTTAGATCTTCGGAAGTCAGTTGCTTCTGAGGGGCTTGTCAAACATTGAAGCAACTGAACTCTTTGCTGGGGTGAAACATCTTCCCTCAAATACTTCTTTTTTCCCCCCTTGGTTGTCCTGGCTGGCTGGTCGTCTCCTTTTTCCACAACTGAAAATGAAAAAGGGGGAAATAAACTCAAACCAAATTGAATTAAATACCTGAAGGTTAATAAAATACAAATGTATAGGCCCAATTATGGCCCCGGTCATACGGCCCGGAAAATGTGGGGGGGGAGCGTGGCTGTTTGCCCCGGAGCAAAATAACGTGCGACTGCGCGATCAGGCATCCGGTTGAGGTCCCGTCGAGGTCCCGTGGTTAGGGGGGAGGTGCCAATCACACGACGAGGCAAAGAAGCGGGGCGGCGCAGCAAACGGGGTTGTGTTTTTAAAAAAAAAAAAAACCTGAAATGTACGAATGCTCCGTTGGTTTGGGTGCTTGTGCGCATCCCATGGAGACTTGGGGGGAAAAAACCTTTTTGCGAGGGGACATGGGCGGGCACCGGATGCCACCGAAAACGCGATCAGACGCCCGCCCTTGCCTCCGAGGTACTAGTTTTCTACCCCGCATCTTCGGCGGGAAGCCTCGGGTGAGCCACGGGACCTCTACACTTCCCAGATGTGGCGCTGTGATCGCGCCCGGAAAATCCGCCTATCTTCCGTCTCTGTAGCATGACTAATGTTCTGTGTGACCAGGGCCAATAAAAAGTAAAGGTAAAGGTTTCCCTTGCTTGAAAGCCAGCGCTGTCCGAAGACTTCTCCATGGTCATGTGGCTGGCACGACTAAACGCTAAAGCGCACGGAAAGCTGTTACCTTCCCACTGAAGCGGTACCTATTTATCTACTTGCAATTTCTTGCTTTTGAACTGCTAGGTTGGCAGGAGCTGGGGCCAGAGATGGGAGCTCACTCTGTCACGTGGGAATGAGGTCTTGAACTGCCAAGCTACAGAGCTTCCAGTCTGCAGTTCAGCGTCTTAACCTCTGAGCCACCGCAGCCCAGGCCCAATAATACTGTTAGTCAAATCAAAAATTAATAAATATTAACAAATATGCAAAAATACATGTATTTATTACACAATAGATTAAAAATAGATATTGGCACTATAACTATCATTGGTAATGAACAGTGTAGATACTGGCCCTCACTATAACTATCATTGGTAATGAACAGTGACATCCAAAGGTGACAAATATTGACCCTGACCAGACGCATTTTGGCTCAATTGACCTTCCTCAGTGGTCAGACTAATACATTTATATCTTTTTTTTAACCTTCAGGTACTTAATTCTACTTTCCCCCCATCATAAAACTTTCAGACAAGGATTTTTCTGTTCATGCTAAGAAAGGAGTCCCAGTAACAAGCATAAGGAGGAATAACAATAATGGTTTGCTCTTTTTCCTGTTCAAGCTCTGTGATCTAGAGATTTCTGTGGTGTGGTTTAAGACATTTTATACTAACAAGCTTGCTGCTGTTATAATATTTCCATTCAGGGCCGGCTGATTGATCACGTGAAGAAGAAAGCTACCAACCTCCAGAGGGTCACTTACCTTGTGTTTGATGAAGCTGACAGAATGTTTGACATGGGTTTTGGTAGGTAACGCAGTAAATGCAGCCATAGTATGGATGTGCCACAGGGCTGGTCCATGTTCCCAGTTTCACATCTTCCTCCAAGACTCCCAGTGTGGCTTGGCAAACCCATCAGTAAAAGAATGTAAAGACAGGATGTCTTCTTAGCTATGCACTCAGCAAAGATGTATTGCCATCTTGTACAGGCTATTTTAGACGACAGCGGTGGGGCAAAATGAAAGCCTTCAGATATGGAATATAACTACTAGGAAGGGAAAGAAAGCGATTTGACCCAGTGCAGAGTAGCGAAAGTTTGGGAAGTCAAGAATAATGCAGCACAAATAGGCACCTTCTGTGGCATTCTCTGTGGTTAGCTGTGAGTGATGCTCTTTGTCTCCAGATTGTCCTGGGCGACCACATGAAAGGGTGGCCTCTGGTGGCCGCTCCCAACCTCTGGAACTTCAGAAATCTGTCAAAGCTCAAGTCCAACTCCCTTCCAAAATACCATTCTTCCTCAGGCAGGCATTTTGTGGCCAAGGGGAGGATTGTTTTGAGTGTCTAGCTCTCTCTGATTTGCTTAACACCCTTCAGAAGAAGGTGGGGCACGGTAGTCGCAGCAGCCTTAGAGTTGGCATGGAGCCCCTGGCTCTGCAGCCACATCTTGTATGTCCATGGCTGCCAGGACAGACCTAGAGGACTGGTACTCTCTTGTCCGACTGTGTATTGCCCTGCCTGTCTCTTAGCCGTGGTAGAAATTGGCCAAGGGAGGTCCATTTGTGTGCATGCTCACACAATTCCAAGCTGATACCTGATTTGTTTTTAGTGGATTAGTAATGAAGGGGGGATTAATTGATCTCTTTCAGTTAGTGGTTAGGCGCACAGACCCAAAAATCAATGTTAGGTGCCATTCAAGGAAGAGTGTGGTATGTCACTCACCAAAAGAAAAGGCTTTTTCCCCCGGACTATATAGTCTCATGCTGGAACCCAAGTCTCCTAAAATACAATTTTTGCAAAAACTAAAAGCTCTTGATGCAACTTAGTTGAATGCTCTCCCCTTCCATTGCCTGCAGTTCCTTGTGTTCAGAAAAGGCATAGTGATTCAGTGTGATAGGTAGCTTTGTGTACTAGATCTGACCCAGCAAAGATAAAACTGGAGTATCTCTGTAGCCTGTAGCTGTGATTTGCTCTTAATTTCAAGGTGCTAGTTAAACAGAGAGCAAATATCTATCGATAAAATTGCTAGTTTTGTAATCTCTTGATTAACACCCTTTTTGTAATGTATACAAAAGGTATTTAAATGCCTTGTATCTTGTATTTTTATATAACCTGATTCTAAAGTCAAATATATCAGCAGTGCATTCAAGAATTCCTGAAGCTGAGTTTGGAGATGGTTCAGCATTTTGTGAAGTAAAACTGCAGTATCCTAGAGAGCCAGTTTGGTGTAGTGGTTAGGCGCACAGACTCTAATCTGGGGAACCAGGTTTGATTCCCCACTCCTCCACATGCAGCTGCTTGTGTGACCTTGGGTCAGTCATAAGTTCTTTCAGAGCTGTTCTCTCAAGGGCAGTTCTTGAGAGAGCTCTCTCAGCCCCACCTACCTCACAGGGTGTCTGTTGTGGGGAGGGGAAGGGGATTGTAAGCCACTCTGAGACTCCTTAGGGGGAAGGGCAGGATATAAATCAAGCCTCTTCTTCCTTCTTCTCTTCAGAATACAGCAGGTTCAGTTTCAGTTACATGCCATGCTTGATTTATCCAGTTGGTTGCTTAGGAATCTCAACAGGGCTGTTTTTTGGTATATGTCAGAGCAGCCGGAACATTCACTGGAACTTTCTTCTTCTCTTCCCTTAGAATACCAAGTCCGCTCAGTCGCCAGCCACGTGCGTCCCGAAAGGCAGAGTGAGTGTGGGCTTCTTTAATGTGGAATAATTTGAGACCAAAGAGATACTAGCCTCTGTCAAAGTCTCTCTCCTTTCGGAAGAGATCCTGGTTTGTCCTATTTGGATTCAGAATCTCCTTTCTGTATCTAGAAATGAAGTTGGAATATTATACACATTTGGGCTGCATTCTCTATCCTTTCTCTCCTCCAGTTCTAACCATTTCCAAGGCTTTGCCATATTTGTTCATGTATAGGCAGCTTGTAGTCCCACCAGCCACTGCCTTTTCATTTCCCCTTCCTTTCACATTGCTGTTTTATGGTGGCTTTCTCCCCATTCCTAGCCACCCTCTGTCCTTATTTTGATACATGAATAATGAAAGAGTCCTGTGGCACCTGCAGTGCCTAGTGGCTTAATTATTCCTGGCATATCAGATCCCTACAGCCAACAGATCAGGGGCAGGCTAGCCTCCACCACAGCGTCCTGCCCTGCTTAGATTGGAAGGAATCTAAGATATAGTCTATCCTTCTATCCCCACTTGAGCAAACCTAATAATCTCATTGTGTGATCAGACACTGCCAGCTTTGCTGCTTGTTTTGCTGTTGAGCCATGGTGGAGACTGTTTGAGAAATCACGTTTTGACCTTAGGCGCACCTATATGCAAGCTGGAAGCATCTTTCTCTGGCAATGGTGCACCTGTTTGAGAGCAGACTATCTCTGAACACGTGCAGAATGTCACGTATCTTGTTTCTGGAGGCTTTGCTTTAGACCTGCGTCCTTCCATCATCTCCCCCTTCCCTTCTGTAAACTAAGTACTGCTTTCCTGCCTCAACAGCTTTGTTGTTCAGTGCAACCTTTCGGAAGAAGATCGAGAGACTGGCCAGAGACATTCTGATTGACCCAATTCGTGTGGTGCAGGGAGACATTGGAGAGGTGATGTTTCTGGGTGTGCATTTCCCCCAATCCCCTGCGGTTGCAATTTATTGCTAATTTCTGACTTGCTTTCATCATTCCCCCCTCCCCCATCCAAACAGGCAAATGAAGATATCACTCAAATTGTGGAGATCTTCTCCTCTGGCCCCAACAAGTGGAACTGGCTGACCAGCCGCCTCGTGGAATTCACCTCTTCAGGGAGCGTCCTCCTCTTTGTCACCAAGAAAGCAAACGCTGATGAACTGGCCAATAACCTCAAGCAAGAAGGGCACAGCCTGGGGCTGCTGCACGGCGACATGGACCAGAGCGAAAGGAACAAGGTCATCTCGGATTTCAAGAAGAGTGCCTTCCCTGTTCTGGTTGCTACCGATGTGGCAGGTAAGGGTGCAAGAACAGGATTTTTCTTAAAGACCCAGGAGCCTTTTGTTGTTGAATCCTATGCTGGACCTCCCCACCTTTTCCTGAGCCTTTTCCTCCCTGCTAGCTTTCTCCTGCCTGCCAGCCTGTCACCCTTCCCTGAAGTGTCCATGAAATGAGCTGGCAGCCGACTGCAGATGTGAGAAGGATATTCTGGGCCACGCCACGACCTAAAGGAGCCAGTGGCCAAGGGGAGGTTGCTCTGCCTCCCTCCCAGGAAGACTGCATGACCCCACCAGCATTTCATTCTGATATTTGCAGACTGCCCTCCTTCCTCCTGCCTTTTTCTTCCTTTCCCCTTTGTCTGTTTTTTCTATTTGTGGGGTTTTTTTGTTTTTTTCTTTTCTTTTTTAGTTTAGGAGCATGAGGGCTGGAGCCTTCTCTGGATTGGTGAGATCTGCTTTGGGAGGCAGTTGTCTGAAAAGCAACTCCCCCCGGGTCCTGTATTTAGCACAGAGAGTTTTGCACTCAGCAGACAATGTGCGGGTCTGTGTTTTAACAACTCTGTTGTTGTAGCCCCATCCCTCTGATCCTAGAAAGTGAAAATATTATAACTTGTTAGACGTCCTTACACAGTTAGATAACGAGTCCAGTAGCACCTTAGAAACCGACAGGATTTTCAGGGTATGAGCTTTCAAGAGTCAAAGCCGTCTCCATCAGATGCTTCATCAGGTGTTTGACGAAGGGACCTTTGAGTCTTGAAAGCCCATACTCTAAAACTCTTGTTGGTCTCTAAGGTGCTTCTGGACTCGTATCTGACTGTTCTGTTACAGACCGATGCGGCCACCCTCTGAAACGTACTTTTCCTGGACTGTTTTTGATTGACAGTCTGTAGCAGTCAAACCAGTCTGTCTTATTTAATAGTTTTAGCTCACCTCTGCCCCAGGTTGTAAGTAGTTTAAATTTGGCGATATTAAGAAACTACCGTGTTTCCCCGAAAATAATTGTTCTCTCCAGCTTTACTTTAAACTTACGTTGTAACTTTTCCTGGTGTGTTTCTTACTCAGAAGTTACAGGTTTGTGGTGTTAGCATAATTTAGACATCTCAATGTCGGTCTTATTTTCGGGGAAACGGGGTATTTAGAAACTGGCCACTGCTCCCTGTGTTTTGTTCTCTCCAGCTTTACTTTAAACTTACAGTGTAACTTTTCCTGGTGTGTTTCTTTCTCAGAAGTTCCAGGTTTGTGGTGTTAGTATAATTTAGACATCTCAATGTAACACCTTTCCAATCCAAAAAGACATCTCTTAGGAGTAAAAATGGCTTGTATCCCATGAAGCGGCTCCAAACCCTTAAGGGCATTTCTGTCTTTGGAGAAAGGGGATGGTATTTCTTCTGATTTTGCGCAGGCTTTTGTTTTGCCCCTTAGGCTATTCCTGAGGGTTCATTGACCTCCATTAAGAAAATGGGGTGGTGGGAGCAGTTCAGTGGGCTTCAACGGGAGAGGGAGGCAAGGCAGTTCCACTCTGCCAATGGATCTCATTGTTTTCAAACCAGTGTAATCCAAGCACAGGCCTGTAGCCGGTCTACATTGAAAGATTTTTGGGATTAAGTGGTTGCTGTCAGCTATGAGTTTTCTTAAATGGGGGCGAGAGAAAACATATTTGAGTAGACCTAGCTCAGCCCGGGTGGAGAATGGGCAGCGCAATCTGAGCAGAGACTTGCAGTGAGGTCTAGACTCCAGACATGCCTTTCCCTTTTCTGTGCCCCAGCTCGTGGTCTGGATATCCCTTCAATTAAGACCGTGATCAACTACGACGTGGCCCGCGACATCGACACCCATACCCACCGCATTGGTCGCACAGGCAGAGCAGGCGAGAAAGGGGTGGCCTACACCTTACTGACTCACAAGGACAGCAACTTTGCTGGGGACCTTGTTCGGAATTTGGAAGGAGCCAATCAGAATGTTTCAAAGGAGCTCTTAGACTTAGCCATGCAGGTAATGTATGCACACATCCAGAAGGGCCGTCATCTTTCCCTTGCCTGAAACATGCATTCTGGATCCAAAAGTGAGCCGCCTCAAATTGATGGTACTCATTTTCGAAATTTGTATTTGGTTGCTGTTTTAAACAGCATGCTTTCCAGGGAGCAGTCTACTAAAGGAGACCCAGAGGCATGTTTTTCACTCAGTCTCAGCCAATCAGTAGGTTGGATCCAGCCAGGTCTTTCACTACTAAAAAAAGGGAGAAGGGAGTCCTCTGCAACCATCCTAAAACTAAAAGGCTGTGCCAAGGAGCATGGGACTTAGATGGACAAAAGCCATGTGGAATGGAGGGTTTAGTAAAGATGGGAATTGGGTAACATTGAGTGAAAAAGTTGGCTGGATCCAGCCCACAGTTTTGGGGGGATAGTCAAAGGGATTTTGTATTTGAATGTGAGAGGTCTGTGTTCTCCTGTGAATTCATCTCTATCATGGACTCATTTTGTGGAGGTAGTCAGGTTGCTCTCAGCCTGGCTTTTCGCCAGTGGAAGTCCCAGTTCAAAGCAGTGTTTCTAGTCTGATTCTCACTATTAGGTTCTAACAATGAGGCATATTCTCAAAAGCAACTCAAGTCCAGAGTTTGTTTTCCCCTTGCAAACGTGTTCCCTTCCCTATTATGTGTTAAAAATAAAATAACTTCTCTTAGATTTTTGTCTGTTGCTTTTGGGGGGGAATATGCAGTGTAAAATTGTGATTTTTTTTCCCATTCTCGCATACCATACACTTCCAGCTTGAATTCTGTAGCCTAGAGTGGACCTGAACCAGACCACAAATATATGCTTGCTCCTCACAGACTTATCTCTTGTACTCATGTTGCTGTCCTCTTTCTTTCAAAGAATGCTTGGTTCCGAAAATCCCGTTTCAAAGGAGGGAAGGGCAAGAAGCTCAACATTGGTGGCGGTGGCCTGGGGTATCGTGAACGCCCCGGCCTAGGTTCTGATGGTTCTGTAAGTACAGCAAAAAACCTATCCTAGATTCAGTGACTTTGGACGTAGACAAGCAAGGCTAACTGCTAACATCTTTGCATTGCAGGATCGTGGGAGTAACAGCATCATGAGCAATTACGAAGCGTACAAACCTTCAACAGGAGCAATGGGGGACAGACTGTCTGCAATGAAGGCAGCATTTCAGGTAGGTATAACTAGCTGTCCTTGTACTAATCTCTCCCTGTGCCATCTCTGTTGCTGCCATTTTCCCACTAGGCCAGCTTCTTTGTCTATAGATCAGCATCTTGCCTATCCAGACAATATCAGAAGGAACCTTGGAAGGCAGAGTTCACCCTTGAGGATCAGAAGGCTGAAAGGGGCAAGTTGAGGATCTTTGTCCAGGCTTTCTTTATCCCCCTTCCCTTGAGACAGGCTTCTCTGTAGGTCCTCCACATTGGTGTGGCCTCATAGCTGGAGAGAACTACTGGGAGGCCAGAGGGTAGAGCTTCATCACTTCCCCTTCTGTTGTGGTATCCCAGCATGAATTCACTCAAATAAGTCGTTGTGTAGAGGAGGGAAGCTAGTAAAACTGAAGTTTCCTCAGGCCTAGCACAAATTATTCAGTTAGCAAATTTTTTGTTGGCCAGGAGATGGAGCCGTCACATTCTGTTCAGCATCTAAATCAAAATTGCTCATTGGCACATCACAAGTCAACCCCCTTCCATACAAATTAATGTGCTTCAAGCAAAGCACAGAGGGAAACGTGTGCTTTAATGCCAGAGGAGCCTGGGGGCAGAGTTTGGTTCAGTCAAATCCTCCAGGTGGCTCAAGCAAGCAAGCCAAGCCATGTACAGGAGAAGGCAGTAAAGGAATAGCCAGTGTTGTGCCTTGGCCAGTTTGGCCTAGGAGAAGTTCCTTCCCAGCACAAAATATGGCAGTTAACAGGAGGAAATCTCTGAGCAGTGGGGGACACCTACTGAGCAGAAGTGCATCTTTCCCATCTCCAATCTGATTGCATCTAATGCCCCTGAAGCAAAGAAAACAGAAAAAGTGGCACATACTGTATGGGGATTTGGGGGAAGTTACATTTTCTTTTTCTTTCCTCTAGTCACAATATAAGAGTCACTTTGTGGCCGCCAGCTTTAACAACCAGAAGACGGGCAGCTCTTCAGCAGGTGCCAGTGGCTGGACCAGTGCTGGCAGCTTGAACTCCGTGCCAACAAATTCAGCACAGCAGAACTTGGCAAAATCCGACAGCCCCATGAGCGCAGCAAAGGGGCTCTCAGGCTTCATAAGCGCCGGAAGCCTAAACAGCATCCCTCCCTTCCCGAGCCCCGGAATTCAAGGATTCAACAGTGTGAATGCCAGTAACAGCACCCGAGAAGGTAGTGGTGGAGGCCGAGAACGGTACAGTGACAACCGAGGCAGCGGTCGCCATGGCGACAACCAGCGCCATGGAGACAGCAGCAGTCGCCACAGCGACAGCCAGCGCCATGGAGACAGCTATCGCCATGGAGAGAACCGCCATGGGGACAGCCATCGTCACAGCGAAAGCCGACATTCTGGCGGTGGAAGCAGCAGCCGCCACGGGGACAGCCGGAATAATGGGGACAGCCGGAACAGCAGTGAAAACAGAAATAGTGAGAACAGGAACAGCGAGAACAGGAAGGATGGCAACAGCAGGGACAACAGCAAGACAGATGGTTTTGCTGTTCCCGAACCCCCAAAGCGCAAGAAGAGTCGATGGGACAGCTAAAGGCCCAGGCTCACCACCAAGTGGCAAAGGCGCCTCTCGAAGGAGGCTTGGTCTGCCAATAAGTAGTCACTGAGGAGGAAAGCAATGGACAAGAACGTTCCCCAACCAACCTTGGCTGGTGCATCTGTAGACAGCTTCACTTTAATGGCACGTAGGTGTTGTGCTTTGGTAAAAAGGAAAGCATTCCCTTTCGTGGGACTTCTCCATGCTCTGGCTTTCAATATCCATCCACCCGAGGGACTCGGTTAGCAAGAACAAAAAAAATTGGTTGGGAGCATTTTGATTTTGCTTTTTGCTTTTTGTCCAGAAAGAGGCTTGAACTGGGTAGATCCCCCCCCCCTTACGAATCAGCACGGACTTCAACCAGCCCAGCCTCCCTTTCTTCACCGTCGTCACCGTGGTGCCCCTAAAACTTTGTCAGCTGGTTACAGTAGCAGGCTGTTTCCAGATCTGCTTGCCATGTTCATACTCACATTGCATGTGCGCAGAGAAAATGGTGATCAGGAATTGGGTGCCAACAGCTACCCCAAGCGGCAAACATGTAGGTGGAATGATGACCCCTGGCATGGGTGGGTCGTAATGGAGCAGGCCCATCTACACAGAATCTCAGGCCTGGTGTGGGAAACATAAGGTCTTGCTGTGGCTTAAGTCAGGACTTCAGCTAACCTTTTTCACCTTCTCACCACATGTATCAGCCCTAACTTTCTAAGTCCATCTTTTATTAGGATTTGTGAGCGCATGCTGTGACTCGAATCCTGCCCTCTTGTCAGTAGTCCACACGTAAGACGGAGAAACGTGACCAGAGTATCAGACCATCCCCTGCTGCTCAGTGTTAATTGACAGACACTGCTTGAGATTTTATTCCAAGAAGTGGAGGAGAGAGATGCAGGAAACATTTAAACAGTTCACCCTGCAAGTTCTGCAGTTTTTCTCTCTTTACTTAAGCCAGCTAAGATGAGAAGTTTGAGGGGAGCGATCTTTGAGTTGGTAATGTGGCAGATTTAAACAGCAGTCTCACTTATTTGTGGGCCTCTTTTGGCCTAGGAGCCTCCAGTTGCCTGCCTGCTGTATTTCATAGAGTTATTTTTAGGGGCAGAACGGCAACATTCCCTCGTATCCAATTTGAGTTTTTACACCGCACGTCGTCTCCTGTCATCCAGATTATTTCTTTCTGGCAGCAGAGAATCTGACGTTTGGTGGCAAAAAACTGCTCAGCAAGGGCTTAGCAGAAGCTGTTACCTTCCATCTCCCAGGGATGGTCCAGTTTCATGAATAAACGTGGGGAACAAGATCTCTGCTAACCATGCAGTTGATGGGGAAAGGCAGGCCATGAGGTCCTGTGTAGATTGGTTTATAAATGTTTTCCAGATTTTTATGGTTCCCTATCTCTCTGCCCCCACCCTGGTTAAAACATACTTGGGGGAAGAGAAACCTTTCACATACCGCATCAAGTTGTCATGATTTTTTTGGGGGGGGGGAGATCCAGGAAGTTTTTCAGACTTTTGTAAGTTTGGGACTGGAAGAAGCTTGTACACAGAGATACTAACAACGGGACCTGTTTGGAAACAGATTGTGGTGTTCTTTCCAAAATGGATTTCACGTACATCTGGAAAGAAGCAGCAAATGTAAAAATATCTTGCTTTTTTAAAAACTGTGTTCTTGGGCTCTTTAATTCTTTTTTTTTTTTTTACAAGTGTGGTAGGATAATCTTGTTTGCTGAAAGTAGAACTGTTTTAGCCTCTCATTTATACAAAATTATCTGAAGCCGTGTCAGGATCTTGTGACATGCTGTCCCCTTTAGTTTCTGCTTGCTCTTCTAGTAAATGTTTTTATTATTAGGACAATTGCCTGGCTTATGACTGTTTTGTGTGTTTTTTCCCTCTTACTCATGAGTAAGTTTTGCTGATGCACACAAGGTCAGGCTGCTGTAATTCTAAGGAATGCTTTGTCAGCTCAGATTGGCTGGGGTCTCTGAGCATCTTTGCCTTTCCTCACAGCACCTTCCTCACCTCTCTTGCTCAAGTGCTTTTATTCTAAAGGATGCTTTTCCGTGGAGTGCCTGCTCTCTGCCTCTGGCCCATTGGGGCCTGGCTAGCACAGGATACCCATCTTGTAGATTGGAATAGAGAGCCTTTTGGTCCCTTTCTGTACTGTCCCAGGCCCTGGGAGGAAGCTGCTTGAAAGTGCTTTCCCATGTTGTAAGTATAAAGCTGGATCCAATTGATTTCCTGCTGGTGAAGATCTCCTCTGACAACCTAAAAAGGTTATTCTGGAGATCATGGGACCTGTGTGGATGAACTAGGACTGTAGGAAGGAGGAGAACTGAGTGAGACCGAGTAAAAGAGCTTGCTGGATCCAACCCATTCTGTTTAAAAGCTTCATCTATTATGTTCCAGTCCATGTACATGCAGGGTATGCATTCTAGCATAAAGTATCCCTGGCAGCAAGTACAAGTTGGAAGGGGTTTGTTGGTGCTCTCTAGACCCTTTCAACAAGGCATGCCGTCCTTTGGAGAAAACAGCCACATATTCCCTTACAATACATGTCAGCCAATCTCTGTTTCCAAATGTTTAGCTCCTGCAGCCAGGAGGAGATAATTTGCAAGGGAGAAAAAGAAGTCAGGGAAAAGCGCTGTTTTCCTGCACTTATTTCTTAGCCATTCTGCCTCCAGCTTGGGGGTCCAGACCCTCGTTTGCAACAGAAACATGGGTCTGAAATCTCAGCAGCGGGGGAATTGCAGGGAGAAAACAGACCAGTGGAAAATTGTAAACACACTTCTTGCTTCATGCTCTTCTGCTGCAGCTGGGTGTCTAGAAATGCAACTTGGTCAGTAACTTATTATTTTCAGCCGTAAAGGGTTTCCATAACGGCCTTGAGTAGCTATCTTAGTGGGGAAAATTGTCCTGCATTGAACTCTATTCCATTTGTGGTTTTAAACATGTCACCTCTTTTCTGCTCCTCAGAGTATAGCCAAAATGAATGGACTTGTCTAATTCTTATCACTTTCTCTGACAGTCCCATTGCAGTGGTTCGTTTTGGGTTCAGAGACTTTCTTTTACAAAGGCCTCCAGAGGACTGCAGAAACCCCTCTCTTGCTATCAGCCAAATAAGAGCTGTACAAATGTATCTGGGTTTTATGATATCGCAAGCACAGATAACGTCAAATAGAGGGAAATGGGAGGTGTAGTTGGAAGAATGTAGAGCGGTGACCATAAAACGGGAGGAAAGAAAAAACCCTATAATCATACCCATCATCATCCATATTGGCACATCCCATCTAAGAGTAGACACCTAGTTCAACTTCCACCATGAAAGGTCCAGAGGGATGCCAAGTTCTAATATGGTGCCATTCTTTGTCAGCAGATAATCAATTGTTACCAGTTCAGACTGTGCTGCTCTAGGATGTTTCTGTCTAGGTGTGACTTCTAGCCTGTTAAGTATCCCTTACTGTTCCTATCATGCTTGCTTTCCTCTGCAAGAAAAGTTAATATTTTTTCCCTGTACTTTCTAGTGTTTCTAAACAAGGCACAATATCATTTCCTTACTACGATACAGCAAAAGTTAGGACTGTAGCATAACCAAAGAAGTTTCAGTTGTTCAACAAAAAAAGTAGATGATTACATTAAAGATTATTCTTGTCAATCTCTAAACCTCATTTTTGGGCTATTGAAGGAGACAGGTGAAAAGTTGTAACTAATCAACAAGCTACCATTCACTGTGAGAAGGAAACGTCTTCTTGAACACTTTATTCTTCATTACAATAATGCAACTGAGGCAAAAGAGACTTTAAAAACAGAGTGCCCTTAATTCTAGGCCTGTAGATTCAAATTGCTCTCCTATGTAAGGCATTGGCTGAATAACTGAATTTTGTAGCTCTAAAATTCTCTCATTTGCTGCCCCTGATGTTAGCCCAATTTGGCTAACACTGAGGCCTGATTGGCATCCAGTTTTTAATTTTCTGTGCTCTTTCACAACATGGTCTCTGCCTCTTTTTTGAAACCGGAGTGGCTTCCCTCTGATTCAAAGGACCCCCTTAACGCTTTTAGGTTCTCCTCAAAGGCTTTCTGTGTAATCTCTTGGCTGGGACTCCTGGGCAGTGTAGGGCAACCATGCATGTATTCCACTGTAGCAGCAGGGGTAAGGTGTAGCAGCCAGTTCTTGGCACCCAAAGGTAAGGCTACTGCTGTTGCTGAGGCTGTCCCCCAGCCAGCCATACTCAGACTCACGCTGTTGGTGACGTGGGACACAAGCCCACCGTAATAGCAGCTGCCCCCTGTGCTGGTCACTCTGGTCTTCTGCTTGATGTCTAGTACCAGGTTTCTCCGGAAACGGGCTTTTTTAACTTCTGCTTGTACCTGGGGATGGAGACAGACCATCAAAACACCACAACTTTTGGACCACATGTGATAATCCTAGAGGTGACGCCCTGTTTGTGGCGGCAAAATGAAGCAGGAGTCAAGAGGCACCTCAGATGCCAAAGGTTGCTGCTTGACTCGTTTTATTGGACAAGATGGTGGCCAGTTTTGGGCCCAGCAACTGGTCAAAACAGCTCACAAATCAGTGTCTCATTCCCTGTTTCTAATGTCCACCTTCCTTTTGGCCTCTTCCTCCTAGCTTTGTTCCCATTAAAAAGTTATCCTAAAATTCAAGGCAGGTATAAATTGAGATTGCTTAGGTGGGAGGCTGTCTGTACCCTGAACAGCTCCCCAGTGGCTTTCCGTGCCTCATAAGGTGAGAAATGCAAATTACATGAGGGAAATCTGCCAGTGTACAGGGATATAAACGACGGAATGTGAGGCACAGCTGAGGGATCTTTAGCTCCTGTACCTGTTTCTGTGCAAGTATGTTTAAACACAGAATGTGATGTAGCTAACGAGGAGAAAGGATACTGGGGGGAAAGGAGGACAGAATTCTGGGTGTTCTGGATACCCTGAGAACTTGTGAAGTGGGACAAGTGTTTATTCCCTGACAATGTTTGCGTTGGATGGGGCAGGGCAGACGGAATCTTGGAAGGCCTAGATTGACTTTTGGCTGCCCTGACAAGCAACATCACTCACTATTATGTAACTACAACCAGAAGGCCATTTAAATCAGAGATTTGGATTATATATATAATCCTATAGAAGCACACGCATCTTTGTGTGGAGAGAAATGATCTATATGGTGCTGCAGAAATCCTACGTGACGATGAGTCCCCTCAGAGACGTGAACACGTACCTCGCCGTTGCAAAAGCAGTAAATAAAAGCCACAAAGAAACCCTGCCGGGAGAGGAGAGAGATCCATAGCTTAAAGAACAGTAACAGTAGAAGTAGATCAAAGCTGAATCTCACAGCCACATAAGACTCACCTGTAAAGAATTGAAGAACATCTCATAGTGCATCTGAATCTGCCAGAGAGTGCTGGAGACATCTGTGTAAGGTATGGCCATGAACACCATGTAATGGACGCCAAAGAGGGGCATCAGGACCAGAGTGGATTTCAGAAGCTTCCTGAAGAGAGGGGGGAAAGTATGCCAGCTCTTAGTGGTCCCTTAACTACAACACAAGGAACAATAAGAGGAGGTCATAGTCCATGATAACTAGAAGCTTACAGAGAATTTGGGCAGTGGGATGATAATGGGAGATTAGTAAGGAGGAGAAAAGACACAGCAGAGTACTCTACTGAAAACATTCCACCTCATCTGGTTTACAAAAGTTGCGCAAAGAGAGCTTACATGAGGAGAAATCATCTTCACTGAAGCAGTAAAGATGGCGCAGCCATAGATGTTGAGACCCACATACCCATACTGTTGGCGGGGGTCTAATGTTCCTGTATTGGTTTCCCACAGTTTGGAGGCAAGGACTCTCACAATGTTGAGGAAGAGGAAGAAATTGACCTGTCAGCAATAACAACAACAAGTACTGTTTTGTCCTTTTAAAAGTTTCAAAATAAGTGCCATTTTGAAACAACTCTTATTTCGTACTTCAGTGCCGGTGACCTAGAGCAAGCATTCCCCCCACCACCACCAATTCTTTCCGTCCTTCCTTGGTGTCTTATCAAATTGGGGTTTCAAGTGAGTTTCACTATAAAATTCTGGTTATAGCTGGCACCAAAGCAAGGCAGATGTGGGCAGTCGGCTGTGGCTGTTGCAGATGCCTTTTGGAAAGTACCCTCCCCTTTGTGTGGCCTTTGGGGGCTATTTTCTCTCCTGTTCCCAGACTTTCTTTGCACACCTTACCACAATCGCTGCCAAGATTGGGGTTTGGTAGATCCATTTCATGTGTCCCGCACTCAGGTCCCAGCACCTGGTGAAAAGAATCTGTAGTAAACCGAAAGGGCTATGACCATGCGCCATCCTGCGCTTCACCTCTTTGAAACTCAGTTTCAATGTGCCCTGTTCCTTTAATGAATCTCAACAAAGCACAACTTCTAGGTTACTTTGCTACCTACTGGAGACTACGGTTGGCCAACAGCATGGTTCTGGGTTTGGGGATAGCTGAATTATACAAGCCATAAGGAGGGTTAGCATTTATATCGCACCTTAGAGAGTTCCAGATATTTCACATATTATTTTACCAGCATGGAAGGATGGGAGACCTGAGGAGTGCCTTATCTAAGGCCCCCTACTAGTGAGTTCAAACCAGATTTTGAACCCAGTCACTTCCCGATTCAGAGATGACACTATTTCAGCCTTCACGCTTTACAGAAATGAAAGGTTTGGATTTATCTCTTGGTGTTACAGTGTGGCTCTCAGCATAGTTATACCCTGCTGTGATACTGAGCTGTGGGTTTAGGGTTGCCAACCTCCAGGTGGAGACTGGCGGTTCCCCCAGAATCACAACTGATCTCCAGACAATGGAAATCAGTTCCCTTGGAGAAAATGGCTGCTTTGAAGGGTGGACTCTGTAGCACTGTACTCCTCTGAGGTCCTCTCCCCCAAACCCTACCATCGCCAGGCTCCCCCCCCAAAAAATCTCCAGGAATGTCCTAATCTAGAGTTGGCAACCCTAGTTAGAATGTTGTAACCATGCTTAGGGGTGGCACTGTTAGAAATGTTTTTGCAGATTTTATTGTCAACCCTGATGAAAAATGGAGCATCTATCTTGAGGAAGGCTCAACATGAGAGGGATTGATTCAGTCAAGGAAGCCCTGGCCCTCAGTTTGCAAGACCTAAGCAAGGTTGTTAACGAGAATATGTTTTGGAGGCCATTAATTCATAGTATCTCCATAAGTCAGAAGCAACCTGATGGCACTTAACACACAACACAACTTGGTAATAAGCAAATCATGGTGGTGGTGGTTGTTTTTTTGGGGGGGAGAATATTAAAATAACCAGCTGGTCTTTTTATGCTTCCAACATTACATGAGGGACTTTTTGAGAACCACAGAAGTTTGTCTCAAGGTGGGGATGGCCGGTTGGCTCACGTGCTTCTCCTTGACTCATCCTATCAGTTTACAAACTTGTTCCAAATTTTCCAAAATGCCCCTGAAGAGCAGAGTACATACTGTGTATCTGCCAGAGAGGCTCTTACGCTGGCCCATATTGACACGAAGACAGCAGGCACCCCTCAAGGGAGAAAAAAAGGGGGGGGGGAGAAAAGCAGAAAGATATCTGGGTTTCCAATGAGATCTTAATGGGACAATAGGAGAAAGTGTCAAGCCAGCAATACACAATGACTTCATGTGCTATACTGTTCCCCACATTCCCCATGCCAGAGCAACTATAGGCAAGTGTGGGAGAGGGAATGCTAAACCAGTTTGGTGTAGTGGTTAAGTGTGTGGACTCTAATCTGGGAGAACCGGGTTTGATTCCCCACTCCTCCACTTGCACCTGCTGGATGACCTTGAGCAAGCCATAGTCCTGGCACAGCTGTTCTTGAAAAAGAGCAGTTTCTGTCAAGAGCTCTCTCAACCCCACCTACCTCACAGGGTGTCTGTTGTGGGGAGGGGAAGGGAAAGGAGTTTGTAAGCCTCTCTGAGACTCCCTTGGGTAGTGAACGGAGGGGTATAAATCCAATCTCCTCGTCCTCTTCTAAATACTGTGGCAAGGCCATTTCAAATACAGAAGTAGGGGTCTGACCCTCAGTGCCTACCTGACATGGACCTGAGGTAAAGTTTCTAGTCCTGGCTGAAGATCCCCATACAGATTATTGTCAGAACAGAAAGAACATGAACTGGACTGTGCTTACCCCAGCCAATGAGGGTGAGGGCCCACAAGTAGCTTTTGTTTGAGAGGAAAGCCATGAAGATCAAACTGTGGAGGTAGAGACCTTCAACCAGGATCCAGTAGTGGTTGGTAGCCAAGAAATAGAGGAATATGGTTACAGCCAACTTGCAGCCTGCCTGAAGGGATGGAGAAAGATACAAGGCTGTCCAGAGGATTTTTATCCCATCCTAATAAGCCTGGAACAGTGTATATGATTCTCCTGTCCTCATTTTACCCCCACAACAACACTGTGAGGTAGGTTAGGCTAAGGAAGACTGACCGGCCTGAGATCACCCAGTAAAGTCAAAGTGGAGATTTGAACTCAGATCTTTTATAACATTGTGGTTTTTTTGTGGAGATCCCTGAACCCCACAAGCAACATTTGGGGAAACACAGTGGGCTACAGGAGGAGATGGGAAGTCTGTCCTGATGCAACACGTTCTTATTGCTATCTTTAAAAAAATCCCTGAGGCATATTGTCTGTGAAGATTTAAAGCCAAGCCTTTCTCAGTTCTACAAGTTAGATGCTGGGTTAAAAGGACTGCTGTCTGTGCATTGGGGCTCACCAGCTGGGTCTTCCTAGGTCCCCAAAAGAGGCTGAGCGCCTCAGCATTCCAGTCTTCGGCATGTACTTTTTCTGGTCCCTCTGGGAGGGGGCTCGAATAGAGCACCACGTCCTTCACAAAGATGCTCGTTGCTCGACAGATGAAGGAGGCAAAGAGGTGGAGATGGATGTAATTCCGAGTGCAGTGGAGTCGCCTGAAGACACCCGTTACCCATGCAGGAGAAAAGGGCACAATGATGATGGGGTACAAGTAAGCAGGTAGAGGCCAGTTAGGAGTACCAATTTAAAAAATGGTGAGGTGTTACCTCCTGTCTTCTGCTTCAAGTCCCCCGAGGCAGAAACAGTACTGGTAAAGAAATATACATCACTTTAACCTCTGCAGTGACCACAGATCAGCCTATCGCCATGTGTCTTGCAAAACGGAATCTACCCCAAACCTATATGCAGTGCAAAAATATATACCGCCTCACTCAGTATGTCCCCAAAAGAGCACTACACTCGGGAAGTAAGAACCTCCTGGTAGTCTCCAGCCCAAGAGAGATCTGGCTGTCCTTAACCAGGGCCAGGGCATTTTTTAGCCCTGGGCCCCTGCCTGGCAGAACTCTTTGCTGGAGAACATCCGTGCCCTGCGAGATTTGTTACCGTTCCCAGGGCTTTTTTTTGTAGAAAAAGCCCAGCAGGAACTCATTAGCATAACAGGCCACACCCTGACAGCACAGCTCATTAGCATATCAGGCCACACCCCCATGCCTTCCCTTGGCTTGCCTGGGTGCCCCGTGGCTGCAGGGAGCACGGGCAAGCCGGCCCTTGGACAGGCTGGGGGAGGCATTTAAATGCCTCCCCGATCCTTCCAGGACCCCCCCTGGCCCGCCGGCCTTGAAGTCGCTGGGGGGGGGGGTGTCGCTCTCCAGGCCTTCCCTCTGTAGCCACGCATGCAGACATTTTGGCTGTAGTGGGTGTGGCCAACTCTGAAGCCAGCTGGAACTCCGTTCCTGTGTGTTCCTGCCCCAAAATGGCCCTGAGTCCATTCCGCATGGCATGTAATGCAGAGATGCTCTTGCCAGGCATTTGGTTGAGGACAGCGATGGGACAGCATGTAGTAGTCTGGCACTCTCACACCCTCCATCCTCTGTAACCCCCTTAGGAGGCTTGTGGAAGCTGAAATTTTTCTGCCATCTTGGACTGGATTGTTTTATTCGTTGATATATGTATTTTATTGTTGGTTTAACTTTATTGATTGTATTCGCCTTCGTTGTAAGCCACCCTGAGCCCTGCTTGCAGGGAAGGGCGGCCTAAAATTCTAATTAAATAAATAAATATATATGATACATGTATGTAGTTATTAATAGTCTCTCCCCTCGTGCTTTGCCAGGCATAAGGACCTAGTGGCAGCCAAGGGTCTCTACAGCCCAGAACTCTTTTTTCCCCATGCTGCAAATCAGATCTGTGACATAATAAGGCAAGAGTTCCACTAAGCATGTGCAGAGTGCCTTTCCTTAACACTAAGTACACTGCTACCTGATCCCATGCATCTGGGATTCAGTGGTGGAGTTTCCAAGCCAGAGAATGTGACCTCCGTGCAGATTTGGAGCCCCAGCTCATCTTCTTTTGCAGAAGAATTCCTTTGTCAGTCAGCTGTGGAAGGGTTCTCTCTGGCTAAAGAGGGATCGGGCAGGATCTGAATGCAGTAAATTTTCCCCCCCCTCCTTACTTGAAATAGCAAAGGATGAACATGGCAACCACAAGGGAGGTGAGGGAGATGGAGTAGCCAACGGTATATATGATGTGCAGACGGTCAAACACTTCCTAGGTGGGGGAAAAAGAGATAAGTTCCTGTATTGAAGGCCTCTTCAAGACCTGCCTACTAACAACTTGTGTTACACTTCTATCCTCTACCCTGATTGAACACCTCTCAAAAAAGGAAGCTCCACAATCTCCTTACAGGCCCATATCCAGCCTATTTGGTAACCATGTCCTAGAAATTCCCTACCCTGATTACCTCAGGAAAGTGTGTTTTAGTAACCTTACGTTTGGACTGCTACAATGTCCTCTTCATGAGACAGTCTCTAAATACAGTATGGAGTCTGCAACTGATATAATACATAGGTTGCTCAGCTCCTGAGTGTGCCACACTGAGTGCCTTATCATCACTCCCTATCGCATCGGCTTCCTTATGGTTCTCAATTTCTGTACACTAGAAAATGATCACCCTGTTTCTTATTTTCCAGGTGAAACGTCTTTTGTTCTTTCAACCTTTCTTTCCATAGGTTCCTTTCTCAGTGCTTTGCAAGCAGTTTGTGAATGCTGGGCGAGGGAAGTGGGTGACACACCATAAAATGGCTGCTGAGGCTGGTCACAAAATGGCAGCCACGTGGTTTTAGCCAATTACAAAATATTGTTGGGAGGGAGGGTTCCGAGTGTTTTATTGCAATGCAGGCATTGTTTCCCTAAATTTGGTTTGTGTTAAAGAATGAAGGGAAGTTAAGAAAATGCCTTTCTCTGTCTTTGTTTTGTTCTTCGCTTTTGAAGGCAGGCATTGTCCCCAGGAGTTCAGAAAGGAACTGAGGTAAGAACCAAAAGGGAAATTCAGAAAGAGTTTTTCCTAAAAAACATAGTTATGTTCAACTGCATTCTGACCTCTAGTGGTGCTAGCTGTTAGAAGAGTTTGTTCACTTATGGCAAATAAGGTCTTTCTCAACAAGGTCTAGAAACCTGTGGGAAGGCTATTTGACCAGACTTTATACTGAAGTCAGAACTTTGGTCCAACTAGTTGTGACTGGATCTCAAGATCTCAGGCAGAGAAGCGTCTTATGCAATATCTGGTACTTGAGATCCTTCAAATGCTAGGGACAGAACCTGGGACCTTTGTTTGCACAGGATGTGGTTTACCACAGAGGTATGACCCCTGCCTCTTTAAAACCCACCAGCCTCTATTTTCTTCTCTGATTCCCCCCCTCCTTCCCTTTCCCTCACTCATTGTATTAAATAAGTCAACCTTCTCTTTCTTCTGTTGTTCTGGTGCAAAGAACATGGCACATTCTGTGTAATTGGCCCATGTCTTGTTCACGTTGGGTACCAAGTGCCAGTTCCCATCCACATCACAGTATCGGTAGGCATGACCTGAAAGAAGGGGCAAGCAGAGTTCAACAAGCAAAACCCAACAAGGAGGAGTTGCCAGAAGATGCAGTCAGCACTTCACACACACCCATGCCAATGGCCCCAGTTTTGGAATATGTAAATATCAAATGAAAGAGTACTTCTTTGCATGTGCTGCTTTCTTTGGGTAATACCAAGGGATAATTGAACACCTGCCCGTTTAGATCACGTCCTGTTTGCCAGTTGTGAACAGGGAGTCAGTTTTTCAACAAACTGTTCTACTGTTCATTGACTGGTCCGTGGCTGTTCAACAGATTGCTTCACTGACAGGAAGCAACTGCAGGTTGCTTCCTATCAGCACAGCTGGCTTTTTGTGTATGTATGTTGTTCTCTCACTGCCCAAATGAGTTCTGCTACCCCCCTGCTGTGCCACTGTTCTGCTCGACAGGCAGTTGTTTAACAGACAGTTAAGTCAGTCACTCATCATACAAATCAGTCATGAATAAATGCTGTGCTTAAAAAAATCCTACCATTTGGTGTTTATTTAAGTAGTCCTCAGCAATGCAAATAACTGAGAGTCTGTTTGGACTGGTATCCTTTTTGCACATGCATAGTTTTAAAAAATTACAAACCTGTTTGACAGGTTTTTGAGTCACTGGTGATGGAATGAACAGACCTAGCAATTGGCTTTCATCTGATAGCCACTGCCAAACATAGTAAGTTCAACTGTCAGACACATTCACTGTAAAATTCATGGCATCCCTACCAACAACATAATGCCACAATAGATGAGATACTGGGAGATGTGTGATCTAATCCTAACAGAAGCTGCACTGGGTACCAGTTCCTATCAGAGTCGAGACATGAAGGAAGGAAAACTCTTCCCCTCCCTTTTGGTTTTGCAGCTCAGAAGTGACACCCCTGCGCTGTCATCAAAGTGCAGGGTGTGCGTGTTTCAATCAGTGAGCCCATGCAAACAGAAAAACCCCTCACTCACAGGATAGCCTGGGGCGAATCACTCTCCCTCAGCCTAACCTACCTCACGGTGTTACTGTAAAGATAAAACAGACGGGAGAGCCATCATGTATGCCACCCTTCCCTCCTTGACGGACAGGCAGTGCAAAATGAAACATTACTGGACAAATGACAAAAATATGCTTGACAAAAGGCCTCCACCACCCTGTACTCAGTCCAAACTGTGGCCCTACACAGTTTATATTTTAAGAATACTGAGGATCATGGACAGAAGCTGCACTGGGTACCAGTTCCTATCAGAGTCGAGACATGAAGGAAGGAAAACTCTTCCCCTCCCTTTTGGTTTTGCAGCTCAGAAGTGACACCCCTGCGCTGTCATCAAAGTGCAGGGTGTGCGTGTTTCAATCAGTGAGCCCATGCAAACAGAAAAACCCCTCACTCACAGGATAGCCTGGGGCGAATCACTCTCCCTCAGCCTAACCTACCTCATGGTGTTACTGTAAAGATAAAACAGAAGGAAGACCCATCATGTATGCCACCCTTCTCTCCTTGACGGACAGGCAGTATAAAATGAAACGTTACTGGACAAGCCTTCGTCATGTGCCCCGCCCCCCGTACCTCACCCGGGGGAACTGCGATCCCCCGCGATCCCCCCGAAATGACCTCTGGATCACCCAGTTTCTCATCTGTTTTGAACCACTGTCAGCCCTCACACAATGGGACGAGGGATAGTTTCCAGGGCAAAGCTTCAGACTTCCAAGACTAAGAAACTGCCAAGACGAAGACTTCTAAGAAATTGCCACCTTGGCTTCCCAACAAGCCAGGCCAGCCTCATGATTCAATTGTCTACTTGTCTAAGGAAAACCAGCTTAAAGCCTGTTTAATTGTCATTGCTCTGAACCAAGGAATTTTTGGAAAAGGTGGCTCTGTTAAGGAACAGGAACCTGAAGGCTTCTTAGATTCAGATAATAGATTAAGAGAGACAGACATCCTATGTGGAGTGGAAGTGAGTTGGACATATGTGTCTTTATCCAAGTAAACATGGAGAACAAGACGCTTCCAAAATAGCCCTACCCTGGAAAACAATGCCTTGGAATCCAGCAAGGATGTGTCAAAACGAGTTCTGCTTGCAATTTAAAATGCCTGTCTGTCTTTTCCCCTAAAGGTTCTGGTGACAGTTGGCCTCTATTTTAGGTAGAGTTTCCAGCTCTGAGTTGGGATATTCCTGGAGATTTGGGGGTGGAGCCTGCGGAGGGCACAGTTTGGGAAGGGGAGGACCTCTGCAGGGTATAACGCTATAGAGTCCACCTTCCAAAACAGCCATCTTGTCCAGGAAGAGGAATCTCTGTCGTCTAGAGATCATACATCATTCTGGGAGATCGCCAGGCCCCACCTGAAGGGTGGCAACCCTTAGGGGCTAACCTGAGGCTCTTCAGGTCCAGCCACAACTCCTCTACCAGTACAGATGGTGTGAGAAATGACATACCCTGAAAGATCTTACAGATGAAAATCTCAGTTCTCCAGAGCAACCTTAGCCCAGGGAATTTTGTACCCTTATTTTCTTCCCTGCTTCTTTGTTGAGATAAATCTTAACCTGCTTCACCAGTCTAAATCCCACCCTTCTGCCTTCTGTGAACCTCTTCTCTCTTCCAAATGATTGGCTAGAAGCCACAACGAGGTATTTGAATGTGGCCAAGAATTTGGTGGGTTCTTAGAGAAGCAGCATTTAGATGCAGTTTACTCAACCCACGGAACAGAAGTCTCATGTTTAGCTAACATGACAGGAGTTCGGTGTCAAATATTGGAAGTCACTGTCTTCTCCACCATGCCACTCTGTAGCGAAACTGCCACCAAGCATGGATCCCACTAATTGCAAGTGTTCTCAGATGAATCAGACTAATGCTTTAGACATGCAGGGCTTTGAAATCAATGCCTGATGTTTGTTCTATGTTAGTTATGAGGACCTGGATAGCCTAGGCTAGCCCTATCTTATCAGATCACAGAAGCTAAGATGGGGCGGCCCTGCTTAGTACTTGGATGGGAGATCACCAAGGAAGTCCAGGGTCGCTACACAGACAATGGCAAACCACCTCTGAATGTCTCTTGCCTTGAAAACCCTAAGGGGGGTGCCATAAGTTGGCTGCGACTTATGAGATGTTCCCATGGGACACCTGGCAATTCTATCACCATTCCGAGATCATGAGGTGAAAACCTGGTTGGCCAGATTCTTGCCATCTGATAAACTCCCCAAATATCAGGAGTGTGCAGTAATGGCTGAGAGAGTATGCGTACCATTGTGGTTGAAGTCATAGACGTAGTCTGGACACGGGACTGCCACCAGTTCGTTTGGGAAGCTCTCTGGCCAGCAAATGATTCCGTCCCACTCAGGCAAGCAATTCCCATCTAACAAAGAAATGACAACTCTCAGTATTTTGTACAGCAGAGTTGATCAGAGAAAGACATCCACAGTTAATGAAACAGGGATTTAAGGGGTGTTCAGACATTAGGGGGTATTCATTTGGGTCTTTGGGTGTTTAACACATTCCATCCCTTCCCACAATTTCTCTCTAGTAGAAGAAGAGATTGGATTTATACCCCGCCCTTCACTACCCAAAGGTGTCTCAGAGCGGCTTACAAACTCCTTTCCCTTCCCCTCCCCACAACAGACACCCTGTGAGGTAGGTAGGTAGGGCTGAGAAAGCTCTTGCCAGAAACTGCTCTTTTTCAAGAACAGCTCTTATCAGAACTATGGCTTGCCAAATGTCATTCAGCCAGGTGCAAGTGGAGGAGTGGGGAATCAAACCCAGTTCTCCCAGATTAGAGTCCGTGCACTTAACCACTACACCAAACTGGCTCTCTATTTTAATAGTATGCTATTGTGATGAGCTGGTTATCAGTTACTACTACTGGACATTGAAGGTTTGGGAAGAGCCCTTTGAGATACCCTGTGGGCAGTGTTCCCTCTAAGCTGAGTTAGTGTGAGCTAGCTCACACTAACTCAGCTTAGAGGGAACATTGCCTGTGGGTAGGTTAAGAATACACATAGAAGAGGAGCAGAATTGTGGTGGCAAGCTCTGCCCCACACCACACCACATTCCTCTGTGTAGGGCTTATGCACAGATGGGTCTCTTCACACAATCAGGAAATCCTGCAGGTTATGTGCTCATAGGCACACCACTGCCATCTAAGCACAACTGCCAGAAAAGGAATACCCGCTAGCCCAATAGTATACCAAACCAATCTCTCTCATTTATAGTTTCACAGGGCGGCCATGTTGGCCTGCTATAGAATTAGATGAGAATCCAGTAGCACCTTAGAGACCAATGAAGTGAGCTTTGACTCTTGAAAGGTTATACCCTCAAAATTATGTTGATTTCTAAGGTCTATCAGACTCAAATCTAGTCTCTCCTTTATATTTCCCTTCCATTGCCCTTCTCTTGTGTTTCTTTAGACGGTAGCCCATCTCTCTTTATTGATGAAAGTCACTTTGGGAGATCATTGGAAAGGAGGATATAAACAAAAACAAATGTGCAGGCAGGATAGTGAGGTATACATTAGAAGATTCTGTTATACCATCTCACGAGATGGGTGAGTGACAGGAAATACCATACAGCAGCACCTCTCAAATGTCAGGTAACCGAGGTAAGCGTTTTCTCTCAGAATTAAAATTACAATAACTTTAGAATCAGTTTTGGAGCATGCGACAAGAAACCGGCACCAGTTCTCAGAGGAACTCGCGCCCAGTGCCTCTGCATGAGTCCCTGTGCTGGACAGTTCTCCTTAGCAAGCTGGTACTTTTGCTGTATCTCTGAAAAATTTGGGAATGATGGAATGATCAAATCACACCCAATACAGAGATTCAATACAAAGGAAAACCCAGATGGCTGGACTGGAAAGCCAGTGGTGCAGCACTAGGCAGGTGCCCCCACACCATTTGACTACTGCAGATGAGGTTGTTCTGCCATACCGAAGCCACGATCGGAGTGCCTCCGTCCACTCCCCCCTGAGCAGTCTCCTGTTCCCTCCCTTGCACTAGTTGCTCGCGGGCTGCATAAGAGCCCTGGACGGGCTGGTTCCAGCCGCTGGGCTTTATGTTTGACACCCCTGGCCTAGAGCATCCCTGACAAGTGTTTGTCCAGCCGCTGCTTAAAGATTGCCAGTGAGGGGGAGCTCACTGCAAGAGGCCGCTTCCTCAGTGGATCAGGACTTTGAGCTCAAAACTGCCTTCCGTTTTAAGGATGGACAATTCGTGTATTGTAGCCCACAGTTCAGAGATTACAAACACAACAAACTGAGAGGGAAGGGAGATGGGCATCCCAAGATCACTTTCTGCTTTCAGCGGGTCGGGGGATGTTTAACTAGGCCCACGTTTTTTCTTTGTTCTATGTAAACACATTTCACAGCAAAATGGATCTTTTTGCATTGTTTTTCCTTAAATCTTTGTTTCCATTCCAAGTGCTAGAAACACAGGGAAACCAGGTACCTTTCACTCTCCCCTGCTGCACATTCATCTCCCTGTGACATATTGCTTTTGCTTTGTCTAGCAAATAAATCTGCTCTTCTTTGGTCAGCACATCATCTGTGTCCACCTGCCAGAGGAGAAAAAGAGGGGATCAGGCTCAGGGGAGGAGGCAGTGGGAACTGAAGTGGGCGGTCTGTAAGATCCAAGACTTGCCCCTATAGTAGCAGTGCAAATAATTCAGCAACAGGGCAAATACCCCACGGTCAGAACATTTAGTTGTTTTTCTATATATGTAGCTAAATGTTACCTATCTATGTATATAGCTAAATATATAGGTATACAACTAAATGTTCTGGCCCTTCCTGGGCTTTTTTGAGCAACTGTTTGAGAAGTGCATGTGGTAAGTCTAGCTGACTGGAAAGAGTTCCTGGAGAAATCAGAGCACCCTCCTGGACTGTGAAGCCCTGGGTTGGATCTAGCCTGCTTTTTCACTCCATCTTGCCCAGTTCTCTTGCTTCCTACAGTTCCTGTCTCACCTGGCTTCTGTCTATGTAGGCCCCATGATCCCCAGACCCCAGCACAACCATTTTGATGCTCCAGGAGGACACCCCCCCTCTTGAGTTTTGGCTTTAGTTAACTACAGTACTGAAATAATTATGTTAGGACTGCCCGACTTGTCATGCCCCAAACTGAACACAGTCCTTAGGCCATATATTGTGCTCCGCAAGTGACTTCTTTTTGACAGTCCCAGGCAAGATGCAAAACAAGAAGATTTATTGTCTACTTTATACGGTAGCGGACTGGCTCCCTTTGACTTAGTAGATCACAGATTGTGCAGGACCTTTGAGGCACTGCTGCATATTTGTGCAGTGATATACAGCACATCATTTGCGGGCGTGTTTGCAGATACATCAGTATAGCAAAACATTAAATGGGCAGAAATGTGTCGGGAGGAACAGATAACAGCCGAGCCATCAGAGCGGAAATTGAGACGGAATGGTAACCCAGCAAGGGACCCTTTAATGCTTGGCCCAGGTATACAGGTCCTCTTGGCAGCATCAGATGCTCATAAACCATGTCCGAAGGCTAGGAGATGGCTTAGCTTCTCCCAGGGACAGGCTAATTTCCCTTGTAAATATCATCATCAGGAAATGGGGGCAGCTCCAAGAGATAAAACAGGACATCAAGAGACAATGAAAACCAGCCCAGACATCGACAGCTGCAATTAAATTGCCAATCTGCACAGAATGTTTCAAGTGTGCTCAATAATGAAATTTCCATCACTGTGGCGGGCATCGGAGAGAAAGGGAACATGGCCCGCCAGAAGTGTGATCTAATCAGGGACAATGCAAGCCAAATGCTGGTTTTACATTTTAAGTGTTTCTATTGCGGTGTCATTTGATAGGGTTTCCAAGACCAAGATATAACCTTGGGTGTTATGTGCCATCAAGTCGCTTCCAACTTATGACGAACCTATGAATTCATGACCTCCAAAGCATCCTACTATTATAATCCTTACTCAAGTCTTGCAAACTGAGGGCCGTGGCTTCCTTTACTGAGTTGATCCGTCTCATGTTGGATCTTTCTCTTTTCCCTAGAGAGTCCTTTTTATAGAACTTATATGAATTAGTCCATTTATGAACTGGACATTAAAAATTCATTACAGTAAAAACTAGCAAGGAACAGCTGAATAACCAAATTCTTCCCCAGCAGAGGTTTGAAATAGACAAGCTCCATGTGGTGGTAAAGCAAACATTCACCAGCAGTTGGCACTGTTTAGCAGGAGAAGAAATTACCATAAGCATCTAGTAGTAACACAAAATGGGGTTAGTTGTGAGAACAGACTGTCTTTGGAAGCTCACATATACCATTGTGCAAAACACTGGAGAGGGGATCCTTGGGAGATTCAAATGTGCAGAACCAGAAAGGAGTTTTAAAAACTGTACAGTGAAATATGAGCTAGGCGTTTAGAATCTTGTTGACCTAAAAGTCACCGTTCTGTAGTAAAAGAGAGACTGCTGAATTAGGATTTGTCAAGACGTTTGATACCATTTCCCAAAGACGGGGGATTCCTCAGTCATTACAGAAATATGAGCTAGGCGTTTAGAATCTTGTTTACCTAAAAGTCACCGTTCTGTAGTAAAAGGGAGCCTGCTGAATTAGGATTTGTCAAGAAGTTCCTCAGTCATTACAAGTGCTAACTGGCTTAGCAAAACTAAGGAAATTACGTTATTCCCCCATTATTATCCTTGTGAATGGTCTCCGTACTTTTCTTCATTACGTTTGAATTTTACATCTCACCTTTTATTTCCTGCCTTGCATGCCTCTTTGACTCTGCTGTTTAAATCTTATTTTCTTCATAACCTCATATATAAATGCCTGCCTAAGGAGGACCTACTTGTTAGTCTTTCTGGTGTCACAAGAGTCTGGTTTATTATTATTTTTAATCAAAATGTGTGTGTCAGAATAAAAGTCATTTCCATGTTTGTTAATAACTGGAACTGGCTAACAAATGTTGCACCAGCATAGATCATATGCAGACATGATGGAAAGATGAGTCCCGGCTGAAGTTTCTAAATACGCACCATCTTCCTCTTTCAGCACCACATACAGGAAACCATCCTGCTGGCAGAACACAGTCCCCAGCTTTTGCCTTCACTTCTCGGCTGAGAGCAATAGAGTCTCCCCTTCTTCATTCAGTCTCTGCACAAATTTCCTGCAGCCCCGGTAGAAGGTTTGAGCCAGAGGACATAAGAGTGCTGTGACAGTTTCCTGTCTGGGCTAAATCTGGAGACCCAGGCTGAAATCGGAATGGTGGAGGGGGTATTGCTTGGGACTAACAGGGCAACCGTGACCACAGTTACATGTGCTAAGTGCTGTCAAGTCCCTTCTGACTTAAGGTGACCCTGTGAATTAATGAGGGGCTGCGGTGGCTCAGAGGTTAAGATGCTGAAGCTGCAGACTGAAAGGTCTGTCGCTCGGCAGTTCGAGACCCTAGTGCTCCCATCTCTGGCCCCAGCTCCTGCCAACCTAGCAGTTCAAAAACAAGAAATTGCTAGTAAATAAATAGGTACCGCTTCGGTGGGAAGGTAACAACATTCCGTGCGCCTTGGTGTTTAGTCATGCCGGCCACATGACCACTGAAATGTCTTCGGACAGCGCTGGCTCTTCAGCTTGGAAACGGAGATGAACACTGCCCCTTAGAGTTGGATTTGACTGACTTTCAAGCAAGGGAAACCTTTACCTTTACTATGAACTAATGTCCTCCAAAATGTACTGCTAACAGATTTGCTCAGGTCTTGCAGACTAAAGGCCGTGGCTTGCTATATTGAGTCAACCTATCTCTTGCTGGGTCTGCCTCTTTTCCTGCTGCCTTCAACTTTTCTTAGAGTTATTGTCTTTTCCAGTGACTGTTGTCTTTTCCTAATGTGAACAAAGTACAATCGCCTCAGTTTAGATACCAGGGAGAGTTCAGACAGAGTCGCAGCCTTCCAAGCCCACTGACTGCTGAGGACTGGATTACTAATCTTCCAGAGGTGATTTGGGGCTTTAAATCACCGTGATGCCCAACTGTCTCAAACTTTTATTTATTTAATTACTTCATTTATACTCCGCCTTTCTCCCCAGTGGGGAGTGGACCTAAAGCAGCTTGCAGAGTCCTCTGCTTCTCCATTTTATCTTCACAACAACCCTGCAGGGAAGGTTAGACTAAGAGTGTGAGACTGGCCAGGGTCACCCAGCGAGCTTCTGAATCAGAATGAGGACTAGAACTGGGGTCTCTTGGATCCTAGCCCAACACTAAGTGCTACACCTGCTTGGTTCATGATATAAATAAATAAACAATAAACTGGCATGACCTTTGCAGGGTAGCAGAGGTTAGAACTGTGCAGTGTTCCCTCTAAGCCGAGTTAGTGTGAGCTAGCTCACAGTTTTTTAGCCTCCGGCTCACACATTTTTGTCTTCGCTCAGGAAGGATGGCTCCAGAGTAAACTAATTTATACAGTAGCCAAATTGCTCGCTCACAACTTTATTGCCCATAGCTCACAAAGTAGATTTTTTGCTCACAAGACTCCACAGCCTAGAGGGAGGATTGGCACTGTGACACCTAAAAAGACTTCCATTGCAGCTCCTGGGGTGGAAAGAGGCACAAAAGATTCTTCTGTGATGTAGATCAAGGTTCTATGCCAGCCTTCAGGATTCCTACACCATCTTGTTACTGTCGTCACTATCCTACCAGTTCTCTGCCTGGGAGGTGCAGACCACCCGGCGGAGAACAAGTCCCCTCCTGTCTCCCTCAGCTTTTGACAGCCTTGTGCTAAGGCGTGCAAGGAACAGAAGGCAAGCAAAGGGAACCATGAGGAAGGAGAATGGGTGCTGTCCTCAAAGGCTGCTCTGCATTCAAGCCCATCCACGGCAGTATATGCCCATCTGCACCCCCTTCTTCTTGTGCCTTCGTCTTTTTACTGTACATTTTTGCATGACTCTGACTTGAGGATATCCTTCTTGGCTGGGGCGTGTGTTTTTATCTCCTTTTTAAATTAGGAATTGTTGACTCCCATTCTGGCTCCAGCAGTCATTCTTCTCTCTCTTCCATACGGTATTCGTTTCCCCAGTTCGGGAAACTGCCTCCCTTGTTTTCCGTCTACTCCAGTCTCAGACGTCTCTCTTTCAAGCATCAGAGAGGAAACAGCAATAAACTGCCGGCATCTTCCAGCAGCAGTTCAGCATCAAAGGCAGATGTGGGCAGGTCAAGCCATAAATCAGGATCAGAGCAACTTGCCAATGCAAGCTAAGGTTGCCACCCTCCAGGTGGGGCCTGGAGATCTCCCGCTTTTACAACTGATCTCCAGCTGACACAGATCAGCTCCCCTGGAGAAAATGGCCGCTTTGAAAGGTGGACTGTATGACGTTGTACCATGCTGAGGCCCCTCCCCTCCCCAAACCCCTCCCTCTCCCGGATCCACCTCCAAAGTCTCCAGGTATTTTCCAACCTATATCTGGCAAACCTAATGCAAGCCCACCGGGGTTGCCAGCTCTGGGTTGAGAAATACCTGGAGATTTTGGTGGTGGAGCTTGGAGAGGGTGGGATTTGGGGAGTGAAGGGACTTCATTGGGGCACAATGCCATCGAGTCCACCTTCCAAAGCAGCCATTTTCTCCAGGTGAACTGATCTCTGTCGCATGGAGAACAGTTGTAATAGCGGGAGATCTCCAGCCACCACCTGGAGGTTGGCATCTCTAAAGCCCACACATGTTGTACAAGCATTAGACCCCATTAAAGGCCAGGCAGGAAAAAGTCCTAATGGAAAATTTTGTTTCTCGGCCACCTACATTCGGGTAGCTTTTTTAAAAAAATCTGACAAGAATCTCAGTACTGCTGTTTTATATGACAAAATAAACGTTTGTTCTAACGGCTTATTCTCATCTTCTGGAAGACACGCACAAGTGCTCTGGTCTATTGTTCCTGAAAGAGCAATGTGGTGCATTGGTTCGAGTGTCCTACTAGGCTCTGGGAGATTTAAGGTTCAAATCCCTACTCTGCCACAGAAGCTCGCTGGATCGCCTTTGTCCACTCACATACTCTCAGCCAGATCTACCTTACAGGGTTGTTGTGAGGATAAAGTGGAGGAAGAGAGAAGCTGTTGTAAGCCACTCTGAGTCACCAGTGGGAGGAAAGCATGGTACAGACATTGGAATAAAATTAAAAAATAGACTAGTCAGATTCCCCATTCATCCAGAGAGAGGGGGAAGATCTAAGTACACAAATGAATGTTCCAGTGTTTCGGTTTTCTCAGCTAAAACTATTGGGGGAAGCCATTCCAGACCAGAGAAGTCCACAAATACATTGCAATCCCTGTGCCAGGAAAGGCTGCAGACAGAAAACACCAATTCAGAAATGATTGTCTGTGCGCATATTTCATAGAGCAGGGGAAAGTCTGTTTTGAAAGAATTGTGAGGAGTGAGTAGACCGCCGTATTCATTCCAGCTCCCACTCACACAGTTCAGTCAAAATATTTTTATTATATGGGTGACCAAATATAACTGAAAGTCTCCCATGGGTTTTTTAGTTGCATGAATAATTCCAGAACCCCATCAGGTATGTAAAGATTTCCAATGGAACCACCACTACCACCCCCTTCCTCAAAAATACATCCTTTCTGGAAAAAGAAAAACAGGCTTGTGGAATGACCGGGAAACTTAATTGTGTTTTCCAGAACTGTTCAGGACTTGCTCGTGTTGTCAAACATTCCAGTACTTTCTGTGCCAGTCCAGATGCTTTGGAGAGAGAGAAACATAGCCAGGAGGAAGGCTTTGTTTGTTTGTTTTTCATTTGTCTTGTTCAGTCACTGCTCGGTCATGAGATTGGAGAACGGGGAACTGTCCCTCTCGCATAGGACTAAGGACAATGAGCATGGATCACACAGCATGCACACCAAAAGTAATTGCACTTGGTCAAGATTTTCTTTTCCACCCACTGAAATGCATGGGATTTGCACCAGAACACAGCCAGGCTCTTGCACAAGTTCATGGGGGACAAAGCTTTTGCAGGACAGGTTCCCAACACCCCACATTTGCAATAGGACCATAACAGCGGCACAAAGACTGCAAACTGGCCCACAGAACACAAACCAGAAAGGGACTTACCAAAGCACCAACCAAATTCAGAAGAGAGAAGCAGAGGGCAGCTGACATCACGCTTCCTGCCTGGCCCAAGACCTCCATGGTTCTCACAGCTTTGGTGCCATCCAAAGTGGAAGCGAGTTCTAATGACGCCAAGTTGAGTCCAGCCCTTAAGAAGCACTCACTCCACTCTCATCGATGCAAACTCCGCATGCATCTGATGGAGGTACTGGGTGTCCGAGCTCGTCATCTCCCAGCGGGCCTCTCTCAACAGTTTCCTCCAGAAGTCGGAGCTTTCACAGCCAGGAGATATCACCCAAAAGACTGACCAACGTCAGCCGCAGGCAATCATTTAGCTAGATGGTTCCCGAGATTGACGCCTCGTGATGGTTCAGCATCCCCGTTCCTGTTTGGTCCTTTTGTTTCTGTTTTCGGCTTGTTCAGGGAAGCGCTGGTGACTTTCTCCTGCTGCTCCTTGTTCCCCTCCAGAGCTGAAGAGCTCGGGTTTGTTAGATCACCCCTAGGTGCTACATTTTTCCCCTTTATTTTCCATGCCTTGGCAAGATCATCTCATCACTGCTTTCCCCCCCTTTGCACTCTTCAGTCATGAAACATTTCACCTTCTGGTAACTGACTCCTTAGCCAGGGTCTTCTGTCTGTATGTGGGGGGGGTTCTAATATTTTTTTACTTACTTTCTTCATTAGTACTACCTGTTTCTCCCCAGTGGGGACCCAAAGCAGCTTACTTCCTTCTCCCGTCCTCCATTTTGCCTTCATCACAAACCTGTGAGGTAAGTGAATGGAGACAGCGTGACTGGCACAAGGTCACCCAGCAAGCTTCCCTGGCAGAGTGGGGATTCAACATGGGGTCCCCCAGATCCTAGTCTGGGACTCTAACCACAACATCATGCTGGCCCATACCTCTTTATCATGGAAATATGCAGATTTCACAACAATAATGGATCTGTAGTAAGTCTTGCTACGTGCCCCAGGACTGCATCTGCATATGGTCGGCTATTGCGCCAGGACTGTTGTGCAATAGCAATCATTCGCAACTGGATCAGCTTGTCCGCACAAGAAAATCCAGTTGTGCATTGCTGCTATAGAGTAAGTTTGGTGTAGTGACTAAGTGCGTGGACTCTAATCTGGGAGAACCGGGTTTGATTTCCCACTCCTCCACTTGCAGCTGCTGGATGATCTTGGGCAAGCCATAGTTCTGCCAGAGCTGTTCTTGAAAGGGCAGTTCTGGAAAGAGCTCTGTCAGCCCCGCCTACCTCACAGGGTGTCTGTTGTGGGGAGGGGAAGGGAAAGGAGTTTGTAAGCCGCTCTGAGAGTCTGAGTGAAGTGCAGACTGGAAATCCAATCTCCTCCTCCTCCTCTTCTTCTTCTGACAGTCCAGTATCCTGCCACGTGTGGACGCAGCTCAGGACTATAATTCACATATGGGGGGGGGGGTTGCTGCCTCTCCAGAGAACCTGAGCAAGGCCAGTTCTAAATTAAGGGACCTGGTAACTGTTTTTCTACAGCTAGCATCAAACTTACCTTTTCTGTGGATCAATTTGCCTTCAATCAGTTCCTGATTGTATTAAGAACTCTGGAGGTACATGGATACCTGGTTTTGTCTCCCCCCTGCTGGACAAATGCAAGGAGTGAAACAGTAGTGACTCCTGAGCCTAACCTACAGTGGAACTCAGTGGCAGACCAATGCTTGTATAAAATTTGAGTCCAGTAGCAAGTCAATAAGCTTTTGTGGGTCAAAGTTCAGTTTGTCAGGCACTGTCTTTTTCCATAGATCCGCCAGAACTTTGACTCATGAAAACTTAAACCCTGAAAAAATGTTATTGGTCGTTAGGCTACTACTGGGCTCAAAGTTCGTTCTACTACTCCAAACTAACATGGCTACTCTTCTGAAATTATGCTGGTAGGCAGGCCTGAGAGCCACTACTGAGTCATTTAGGTCCCTGCCACACGGCAGGAAAAACACCGGCCAAAGTGCGGCTAATTAGAGCTGCACCAAAATAGAGACGCCGCGGCGGGATCCCACGGATCCCCTAAGCCGCGGCACTGTTGCTCCCCGGCACGATCAGATGCCAGGGAGGAAGACGGTCAGGAGGGGGAGGCCGCCGAACTGCGCATGTCTGAGCATGCGCAGTTTGGCCAGGAGCCAGGGATGTGCTGGCGAAAGGATGCGCCGGCGATCACACGGCCGGCCTTGATACGGCCGTCCCAGAAGAACCACCTCGGTAGGTGGTTCATTTTTGCTCCGTGTTTTGGGCGGAAGGGCCGGATCGGGGACGGGTGCGCAACGCTTCCCAGATGTTGCGGTGGGATCGCGCCCATTTGCTCCGCCCCCGATCCGTCCCTCTCCCGGCCCAAAACCTCTCGTATGACCGGGGCCTTAATTTACTTTTCTTAGGTTTCTATTCCCTGCAGGGTGGCGTGAAAAATCCTTTCTCTCTTAGTGGCCACAGAGAATGTCTCCCAAGCCTTTTCTATACACCCAGGGAGGTCTTTGGTTGGGGCGGGCTTTCTCTGACCGGACTAAAGGGAATGAGAGTTGTGAAGAGGCCTATAGAAAAATATCCTGTACCTTGACTAGAGCCTTAATGCGTGGGGATGGGCAGCTGAAGCTTGTCGGCACAGAGAACATCACCTGCTAAGTAACATCCCATGAAACCTCCATTCCCCCCTCTTGGACACACACCTTAATGCAAGGGGGGGGGGTTGTGTGTGTCAGCAAAGCTGAGACCAATACAGGAAGGAGTTTAGACCCTGTCAAGAGGCTAAACTCCTAGCGGAGTCACTCAGTGGTCACAGCTGAGACACCAGACTAAAAGATGCACCCACCCTCTGACCAACTCTTACCTCGAAAACCCTACGATGATGAGACAATCCAAAATGACAATATATAGTGACATTTTGGAGATCATTTTTCATTTGTTGCTGCCATCACACCACGACTGACTTATGGCAACCCCATTAGGGTTTTCAAGGAAAGAGAGATTCAGAGGTGGGCTGCCATTGCCTGCCTCTGCGTAGCCACCCTGGTATTTCTTGGTCACCTCCCTTGCAAATGCTAACCAGGGTCAACCCTGCTTAGCTTGTGAGATCTAACAAGTTCAGGCTAGCCTGGGCTCTCCAGGTCATTTTTGTAGGATTATTGTAAATCAGAAGTTACTTGAGGGCACTTAACACACACACATGCACGTGCACACACCTCTGTTAAAGGGACATGATGTTTTACTCCAAGCAGTTGGCAACTCTAAAGAAGAGCCAAGAGTCTGCGATTCCTAAATTCTGCACAGTTTTAATTGGACTGTAGTTAGAAGGGGGACACTCAGTGGAAGAGCCTTCCCTGCATCTCTAGTTAAAGGACCAGGGACTAAGTGATAAGACAGACCTCCGCCTGAGACCCTGGAGAACTGTTGCCAGTCTGAGGTTCACAGTACCGACACTGATGGACCAATGGTCTGATTCAGTATAAGGCATATTCGTGTGTGACCTTAAAGCTGGATGTTATATCTGCTTTTTAAGATAGTGTGCTGGGATTAAACAGGGTCGGTCCTGGTTAGTCCCTGGATGGGAGACCACCAAGAAATAGCAGGGTCTCTGCACAAAGGCAGACAATGGCAACCCACCTCTGAACATCTCTTGCCTTGAAAACTCCACCAGGTTGCCACAATTCAGCTGTGACCAGGGGTCATTTCGTAGAAAAAGAGGCGCAGGAGCTCATTAGCATAATTTATTTGCATAGGCAACACCCCCTGACATCACCGGAAGTGTGTCAGAAGGCAACACCCACCGCTCAGGCTCCACTGGACTGTTTTGGATTGCTAGCTATTGGGGGGGGGGGGCGGACACGCCTGTTGCAGATCTGTCCTCGCAGAGGAGGGAGAGTTTGTACCTGAACAAAACTTGATCTTAAAGGTGCCACTGGACTGTTTTGGGCCTGAGGGCCGGGGGGGAGCTCTGCAACTTACCTGGCTGCTTCTTGCTCTGACAGAGGGTTGCTGGTAGGAGGGGGAGGGGCTTGTTCCATGTGCCCACCCCCTGGGCTCTTTACTGCCGGAGCTCCGCTCCTGTGTGCTCCTGCAGGAAATGACCCCTGGCTGTGACTTGAGACAAAAGAAAAGAAAAAAGACTGCCAGGTAGGATGGGGGAACCCATGAATCTAAACTGCTGGAGTTTATTATATGATATAAAATCCCAGTGTAAACCTAACTCTACCTCGCAGGGCTGTTGTGAAGACAGTATGTGGACGGGAGGGCAGCTATGTACTAAAGGAAGTGATGATAATGATGATGATGATCAGGGCTTTTTTTGTAGAAAAAGGCCAGCAGGAACTCATTAGCATAATAGGCCACACCCAACAGCCGAAACTCATTAGCATTTTAGGCCATACCCTGACACCACAGCTAATTAGCATATTAGGCCGCAGCCCCGTGTTACTAGAAGTGTGGTCATCCAGCCACACCCACCTTTTGCTTCTTATTCTGTTTTCCTTGTTTGTTGTCAAAACCCAGGGCTTTTTTTTGTAGCAGGGACTCCTTTGCATGTTAGGCCACACACGCCTACTGTAGCCAAACCTAATGAGTTTCTGCTGTTGGGTGTGGCCTGTTATGCTAATAAGTTCCTGCTGGGCATGGCCAACTCAGGAGCCAGCCGGAACTCTATTCCTGTGCCTTCCTGTCCAAATATAGCCCTGATGATGATAATAATAACAACAACAACAATAATAATCCCCTTCCTCCAATGGATCTCAGGACATTGTACTTCTTCTTCTTAAACTTCCCACCACATGTCCACGTTAAATATCAGTATGATAGAAGGTCATTAGCAAGGCTATTGGCTAAGTCTAAAAGGTGGCAGAACTTTCTCCTTGGCAGAGGAAACCCCTCCCAACTAAAAAATCCTACCAATGACTCCTAATCCACAGTGCAGTGAAACCTATGAAACAAACCTTGCCTTCATCCATACAAGAAAAAAAATGTTTAAACAACGTGGCAAGGCTGTTGAACAAATATGCAGCATTAAGA